ACACATACTCTTCCATTGACTTTCTTAGAGTCCTCAGCGTCTCTGTGTCATCTTCACACGTCTCTCTGTTGAGCAGCTTCGTGAACAGTTCCTTCCACAGATCTACGTTCCAGTATCTGAGGTGCAAACAACTTAGAGATGATATGCAAAATCTTTATATTACAATAATGTGTTTTTTTATCTGGGAGTCAGAAACCAGCAATGTTCTTTGATTTTTGATACCTTTTAAATGAAGTTCTTGGCAAATTAATGTGGCCACCGTTCAGCGATTGTTTCTTATCGATCTCCATGTAGGTGTTGTGCAGCATCATGTGGACGATTGCACAGAGTCCATAAGTGTCCACCTACATATAACACATGTTCCAGTGAGACCTCGAATGGTTTAAAGTCTAATCATGCAAAGCCAAATTCTTGCTGAGCAGTGAGATCTAAAAGAATTACCTGAAACTTCCAAGGTTTATTCTCCTTCATCTCCATGCAACTGAAGCCTGAGGTACGACAATCTCCTGTAAACTCAGTGGTTCTAGGAAACAGTCTCAAGTCTATTCCTCTACCCCAGTCAACAAGACAGAGACCCTGAGGTAGAAATGAAAAACATGCATCAGATTCTGGACATAACACACGAATCAGAACTAGTAGTTGCATAAGGGATTTACCTGATTGCTCGAAGAACCTGTTTTCTCATGGAAGCCTGTCTCAGTTAGGTTTTCTCTGCAAGTAATTCGTGAGGTATCTCAGTCTCTGCCACGATCGTTAACATACAAGTACATGGCTTCATGATAAAAGAATCTTATGTACAAGCTAATCAGCAATATTGGAATGGAAAAAACTTACTGAGGGTATCGGATCAGCAGATTGTCTGGCTTGAAATCACCATGAATGATTCCAACACTGTGCAAAGTTTCCAGCATGTACAACATTTCTATTGTGTAATACATGCACAAAACTTCTTCCATGGACTTGCCAACAACGAGATATGAGTTTATGACGTCCTTAAATAAACAACAAGAAAGCAAATTAAACAGGAAATTATGTTTGCATTTGTTTATTCAGTCCGTAAGAGTCCACAAGAACCTACGTGGAGTGTCCCATGTGAGAGATAATCGCAGACAAGAATACTGTAGTCTGAATACACATGCACTCTCTGAGCCAATCCAAAACTTGATCTCTAGCATAGGATGAGTGCAATTAGTACGGTGTGAAACACATCTGACATGGTAATATGCTAATATTAGTGGAAAAAGACATACTTGGCTCTCTGGGATCCTGCAATCAAGTTGGCGATACATGTGGAATTCCCAAGGAAAAGGTGGCTTTTGTACCTGTGTGAGAGTAGTATATGCAGTTTGTCATGTGAATTGTGCCATTTTGCATCATACTCTACTTGATTTTTTTTTGAGGGTCTACCTTTAGAGCAACTACTTCATCAGGATTGCTGTCAATGTATGCTTTGAAAACTTGAGCAAAACCACCTTTACCAGCACACCCCTTGATCTGGTATTTCCTTCCACCTAGCAAATAGACAGTTACAATGAATTCAGGTCATATATAATTTCCTTTTGTCTCAGAGAAGTACATTGTCCCAGGTAAGAACAAAGCGAGAATCAATTTCTATTACACAAATGAATACATGCACAGCCACTTCTAATTTGAAACAATGCATCTTTAACATTATAAGAAACATTCTTTATCCTGCATAGGTGAACGACTAGATTGATATGAAAAGAATGTACCTATGTCAATGATCTTATTTCTGGAATTATTCTTCACGGACAACAAATTGGCTTTTCCGGGGAAAGCTTTGTTGCTTGCATGGTACCCCTGATGCAAACATAAAGAAAGAAAATCAGTTGAGACGCCTCCCTATATAAGTTAACACATGTAAGAATATCATAAGTTTCCATTTGGCTTACATCATATTTCACAAGCTGGGGTTTTATCTTGTGAATTAAGCGGTCCACAGTGGAGGTTTCCCATGGATTTACGAAACCTGTCCCCAAGTCAGTGGCCTGATCATCATCATCATCATCATCAATTTTCCAGAACAAAAAGGTGAGATATAGAAAGAAAACTCAGTTCAATCCTCAACTAATTCGATCCTTCTAGTTAATGTTAAACAATACTAAAAAAAATAAACCTTTTCAATGGAAGCTGCTTTGGTCCTCTTAGAGATTCTTTGTAAAAACAAAGAGTGAGCCTCTTTTAACCTGTCACATGGTTCAGCTTTCCTACAATTCTCCAAGATAGCAGAAATGAGCAACAAATCAGCACAAGGCACGAAATTATAAAACTAGAGGAGCAACATAAGGAACATGCCAGAACAAGAAGAAGAGAGAGACCTTGAAAGACCAGTTTGATAAACCGAATGTGCTCTTCGCCATAATCCTTTGACCTCAAGAAAAATAGCATACCATTCATAGAGCAACGAGTGCCCTGTACATATCTCATTCTCTTCAATTTCTCGATAAACACTCTCGAAATCTTCACATCCCTCAAGCTAAAACCACCAAAATTGAAGAAAAAATTCAACCAAGTGTGATAAAAACTGTAACATCCACATCAATTGATTCGGGATATAAGTAACAATCCGAAACCCTAAGTATGCTAAATTAACGAAAACAATTCGAAGAAACAGAAGCACAAATTTAAGCTCAAACAAGTTGGGAGAGAGTAATTTATAACACGATGAGGGTTTAAGTAATGAATTACATAGAGGAACCAGATCTTGAGGAATCTGAGGTCGTTTCGGTACCGAAGATCTTGCTTACAAGTTGAGATGCAATCATGGAGAAGCTGATCGAGATCTTCACCGGAACTTTTACCAGAGTAGAGATCCTCCGTCGACTTTTTAATCTTCCTGTGAAAACCCCCAAAACACACAAAATCCAAAAATCAGAAACCCGTTTTTGAAACATATGTCACAATTAAATTAGATAAGAATCAGAGAGGAGAAGTAGTATTTTACAAAAGCCACGGGAAGAGCGGGTCGTCGTCGACGGAGTTGGATTCACCGGCGGTGTCTGTGTAACCGATTGTCATTTTCGCAGTCAGAGAGAGAGAGAGAGAGAGAGAGAGAGAGAGAGAGAGAGAGAGAGAGAGAGAAAGGGGGGAGCGAAGCTTTTTCAAAATTCAAAATTTGTTGGATCAGTTCTTTATAGCCCAATAGTATAAATGGGCCTTTGTGTTGTATATTATATGGCCCATCTATCCAGTGAGACACAAACGAGTATTTCGACCCACGCGCTGCAAGTCTTTATAACATTGTTTTTGTGCAAAAATGGCCAAATCGGAGGGTTATAGTCCACGGATTTTCATCTCACGCGCTCAACGCGCCTTTGGTGCGTGTGGCTTTTGTGTTTTCAGTTCTTTTCTTCGTAATGGATTGGAGAAAAAATTATTACACAGACAAAACTTACAAAAGAATACAAAAAAAATTACAAAATATATCATGGCTCCTTTTCTACGTAATATCAAGGGAAAAAAGCTTAAAAATACCTCATTTAATTTTAATTTAGAAGTTTAATACCTGATCTTTCTTGATTGGAAAAATAATACTCACATTAATAAAAACGTGTAATTTAATACCCAATAAATTAAATATTGTCATTCTCATACTTACGATTTCAAAACAAAAAATATATTCCAATTTTACCCTTATTCATTTCTATTAATTATTAATGCATAAATGATATAAAAATAATTTTCATTTTATTTGAATGAAAATGATGTGTAGTAAAATTTCATTATATTTTTTATTTTATATCTTTAATTCAAAATATATATTTTAATTTTAATTCAAAAATTTTTACTATTTCATTGTATCATTACTTTATATCTTTAATTTAAAATATATATTTCATTTTTCATTTTTCATTTTTGGATATGAAATATCTAATTCAAAATATATCTTTCATTGGATATTCTTAACAAATTTGGATAAAAATGAAATGTATTTTTGGATATGAAATATATAATTCAAAATATATTTTTCATTGGTTCTCTTAAATTTTTTTAGATATATATATTGGTTTCTTTTTGGATATGAAACATATAATTCAAAATATATTTTTTATTGGATCTCGTAAAATTTTTGGATAAAAAATGAAAGGGATATGTTTTATTTTTGGATATGAAATTAATTTTATGTCATATATGCATTAATAACTAATAGACAAAATAAGGGTAAAATTGGAATATTTTTTTTTTGTTTTGAAATCGTAAGTATGAAAATGACAATATTTAATTTATTAGGTATTAAATTACACGTTTTTATTAATATGAGTATTTATTTTCCAACCAAAAAAAATCAGGTATTAAATGTCCAAATTAAAATTAAATGAGGTATTTTTAAAAGAAAAAAAAAATACAAAAAAAATTTACAACCTCTTTTTGATAAAGTCTCCTACTATTTAGTCAAAAAAGGAAAATTACACACGAACATTCCGCAAAAACGAATTTGTTTACATTTTCTAACAATAGTGAATTACAAACATTCGAAATTTCAAACATATATCTAATAATTGAAAACTAAACTAGTAAAAACATTATATAATTAACTAAATCATCTGCAAAACAATTAGACTCAATTTAGAGTAATCAATCTCTTGAAATAAAATTATGGCACAACTATACTAAAAAAATCAGTAAATTAATGTCTTATACCACCGTGTATTTTGCATATTTTTTTCGCCTGATTTGTTTTAGATATATTTTAAAAAATCGTTTTAATTTGTTACACATGTGGTTGACACAATCACGAGAAGAAAATAAAACTTGAATAGTCAGATGTTTAAACTTTAAAGTAACCAATAGTGTTTAGAATGAGATGATGTTTACGAAAATAACATTTGTTTTTTGGTGTGTAACGTTAAAATAATGTTTTGTGTTTGTCGGCAATGTGAGAATCTAACAAATAATAATAATATTAGACGACAGATCATTAAAGAGAGAAAGGAGTTTGATTTCTTTTATTTTTGCCTTGAAATGGAGTTGGGGAGAGCCAAAAAGAAGAAAAGTCGTCGGCGTAGCAAAGACAGTAGTAGCCAATAAATGATGATATAAGCAGCGTCATCGGCTGTTCACATGTGACACAACCTCACAGTACTCATTTATTACATACAAACTTCATCTCTCTCTTTTGAAATCATTCACACATTTCAGACACAAACGCAGAGAGAATAACATATCCTTCTCACAATGACTGGAAGAGAGATTCTCCATAAGATGAAGGTACATATATGCTTCACCTCAACTCTAATAAGTCTTATCGCGTATCAAGTTGCTTTCAAGGGCTCATGGATCTTGATTTTGTGATCTGATCCTTCTATGTCTTTGTTCTGTTTCACAACCTACATATACATATATTTGTTTCTTTGTTTTAACTTCTTCTATATTAGAGCCGCTTTAAGGAACTAGGTTTCTAAGCATTTGACTTGGTTAAGTACTAGAGCTTGTGTTAATCTCGTGATTCTTGTTTCAGTAATCTTTTGGTTAGACATATATGAGGTGACTAAAGAATATTTCTCTTGATGAAGAAATTACATCACTTGAATTATGTGATTTCGCTTGAAGACTCTTCTTCTAGAGTGTTTTATACGTACAGGGATCTCTCTTTATCTTCTTGTTGTGTTGGTGTGAATAGTTGAAGGCTGGAGGATTCTGCGGATCTGAGACAGGAAGAGGTAAGAGCAAGACATGGAAAAACATCTCCCACGGTTTTGACTTTGTGAAAGGCAAAGCATACCATCCTATGGAGGACTATGTTGTGTCTGAGTTCAAGAAAGTGGACGGCCATGATTTGGGTTTGTTTGCTATCTTTGACGGTCACTTGGGCCATGATGTGGCCAAGTACTTGCAGACCAATCTCTTTGATAACATTCTCAAAGAGGTAATAACTAATAACTCATGTTTAAGCATGATTCTGTTCTTTTTTATGCCAATTTCTAGCTCTAGTTGTGTAAAATGTTTTGCTATTTCAGAAGGATTTTTGGACTGATACGGAAAAGGCTATAAGGAATGCATACATATCAACGGACGCTGTGATACTAGAGCAGTCACTTAAACTTGGCAAAGGCGGATCAACGGCTGTAACAGGCATTCTAATAGATGGGAAAAAGCTAGTGGTTGCTAATGTTGGAGACTCAAGGGCAGTGATGTCAAAGAATGGTGTTGCGTATCAGCTCTCTGTTGACCATGAACCAAGTAAGACAAAGGAAATTGAGAGCCGTGGTGGCTTTGTATCTAATATTCCAGGTAAGTCTTGTAGCTAGATGTGAATAATATTAAGAGGAGTATGAATATGAAAGGATGTTGATAGAGAGGATTCTTGAATTAATGTATCAGGGGATGTTCCAAGAGTCGATGGACAACTAGCGGTTGCGAGGGCGTTTGGAGATAAGAGCTTAAAGATACATCTTAGCTCTGAACCAGACATAACACACCAGACAATCGATGATGAGACTGAGTTCATCGTTTTCGCGAGTGATGGAATTTGGAAGGTACATTTGAGATCTCTTTGCATCTAATATTTAGTGATGGAATTGATTTAACACAATATGTGTTTGATCAACAGGTGATAACGAACCAAGAAGCAGTGGACGTGATCAAAAACATAAAAGATCCACAAGCGGCAGCCAAGGAGTTGATAGAAGAAGCAGTCGCGAAGAAAAGCAAAGACGACATCTCTTGTATAGTTGTAAGGTTCAACTGATAATTATAACTTGTCTTGGCTATAAAATTGTACCAATCAAGTGTGTGAGTGAGAGAGTAAAACAAAAGACCAACCAATTAAGTTGTGTGATCAAAGTCATGTCTCTTGTTAAAAACTTCCATTGACAGTAAAATCCTGGCCAAAATGTAAAAGCCATGGTTCTTGGAACTCTTAAAGAACATCACAAGACTCATACGAACACAACCAAAATCTTAAGAGTAAGTTTTAAACCGAATCTTGATTACATTATTGCTACTTCTGTTGTGGTTAACTGAGTTAGCAAAATCAATAGTTTTCTTGGCTCCTATTTGAGGCAAAACGCTTCGTTGATGTTATGGCTAACTCATCACATCATCATCATCATGGGCTACAAGTATATGACCAATCAGTACCTCTTGGTTCAATGAAGCCAAGGAAACTGAACTTAGCTTGCGTAAGTAATCTAAAATGAGGCCCAAATAGTCTTTTACAAAAGCCTACTACGGATTTCATTTTTGACACGTGATTTTTGCTTTAGATCAAAAAGCTGTTAGGTCTCACCAAGATAGATAAATCACGTTTCATAATTCAAAACGTTGCTTTTATATTCTTCTAGTCGCAAACCTTTGAATTTTTCAGTTGTATATTATAACTCTTTCGTTTTCAAATACTTTTTTGTTTCGCTATCTTCAGCAGTGAGAAAATATGAGCGAAGTAGAACAACCGCACGCCAATCTAGTGGTTCCTGCGTTTGAGAAAACCGAGAAAGATAACAAAACGCAGACGCAGAAAGGTCAAAGCTGCGTTTGGCGTTTCGGTGGAAGCGATAAAGCAGAGAAAGCCTCCACGGTAACGCTCAGAGGTGTCATCTACATGCTCTTCGGCAACTGCAGCAAAGACGTCAAAAAGACTATTTTACCCCTCGGCCACGGTGACCCTTCCGTCTACCCTTGCTTCCGCACCTCTATCGAAGCCGAAGACGCCGTCGTCGACGTCCTCCGCTCCGGCAAATGCAACTCTTACGGTCCCGGAGCTGGGATTCTCCCCGCAAGACGGTAACTTTCTCACCCAAAAATCTCCTTCTTTCCGATTTAATCCCAAATCTCTATCTGGGTTCTTCGAATTTGATCGTGATCGGAGCTCTTTTCGAGTCAACGCCGATTCAATTTTGTCAAGACTTCAACTTTAAAGCTTTTGACTTCACTGAACTTAAAATTGTCGTTTAGACCCTATATTTTAGCACTCTTCTAAATTAGACCCGTATCTTTTTAATAAGAACAATTGATCCATATTTTGTTTGATACAAATGCTCTGTTTTGAAACAGAGCCGTCGCCGATTACCTAAACCGAGACCTTCCGAACAAGTTAACGCCGGAAGATATCTTACTGACTGCTGGATGCAACCAAGGGATAGAGATCGTGTTCGAATCGTTGGCTCGACCAAACGCAAACATCTTACTCCCACGTCCTGGCTTCCCTCACTACGACGCTCGTGCTGCTTACAGTGGTCTCGAGGTTCGCAAGTATGATCTTCTTCCTGAGAAAGAATGGGACATTGATCTCGAAGGTATTGAAGCCATTGCAGATGAGAACACTGTGGCAGTGGTTGTAATTAACCCCAACAATCCCTGTGGTAATGTCTACTCTCATGACCATCTCAAAAAGGTTTGTACTTTTGTATCATTACGCAAAACAATGCTCATCTCTTTGAGCCAAAGCTTGAAACTTTGAGTCATTTTTGATTCTTAGCTCGCTAAAGCTTGCGTTTTTAGGTTGCAGAGACGGCTCGGAAGCTGGGGATAATGGTGATATCAGATGAAGTATATGACCAAACTATATTTGGAGACAATCCATTCGTTCCAATGGGAAAGTTCGCATCGATAGTTCCTGTGTTGACACTAGCAGGCATATCCAAAGGATGGGTTGTTCCCGGATGGAAAATTGGCTGGATCGCGCTGAATGATCCCGAGGGAGTTTTCGAGACCACCAAGGTCTGTTTACTGCTACTTCTTTTAGATCGTCATCTCCTTGCTGTTTTGTAACAATCTCACTGTGTATGTGTTTCTTGATAGGTGGCTCAATCCATCAAACAGAATCTTGACATAACTCCTGACCCTTCCACTATAATTCAGGTTTGTGTGTTTTTTGTAGAAAATGTTTTACATAACTCTTCTTTTTAAATTCATTACAATGCTAAACTGTATGTTTCCTTTGATAGGCTGCACTTCCCGCGATCCTGGAGAAAGCGGATAAAAACTTCTTTGCAAAGAAGAACAAGATACTGAAACATAATGTTGATTTGGTGTGTGATAGGCTCAAGGACATCCCCTGTGTCTTCTGTCCCAAGAAACCTGAGTCTTGCACTTACTTACTGGTAAAACACACATGAAACTCTGACTTCTTTATCCACACTATCCAGATAGTATATCACTTCTTACAGTTTTCACTTACTGCAGACAAAGCTGGAGCTATCATTGATGGATAACATAAAGGACGACACTGAATTCTGCGTGAAGCTGGCCAGAGAGGAGAATCTCGTGTTTCTACCAGGTAAAGTAAATGAGTAGAAGAATGATGAACCTTGATTTGAGTTGTTGTGATGCTAAAATGGAGTTTGTGTGGAATATTTTGCAGGAGAGGCTCTAGGTTTGAAGAACTGGATGAGGATAACTATAGGAGTCGAAGCTCATATGCTTGAGGATGCACTTGAGAGACTAAAGGGGTTTTGTACACGCCATACCAAGAAGATAGAGACAGATGATGAGTCACTTCAAGCTTCGAAACCGAGTGACAATAATGTCCATGTATAAGACACATTAAAATGAAATAAAACAGAAGTGGATGTGTGATGTATGCCCAAAAGATTATTCATATCATAATTATGATTCATGCTTTTCCATTCTCATTTCATTTAGTAATTGATTTTTGGATCCAAAACTTAAAATCAATGATATTTGTAAGGCAATAAATATTTGATAAATGTATTACAGATATTTATTTGTTTAAACGTTTTCATACTTGTAAAAATAAAATACATTATATGTACACGAATATGTAAGAAAATAATCAAACATCCAAAGTAAATATAGGAGATGGATTCTTCAATTTGGTTTCCTTATAGTGCGATGGTTAGAATTAATTTGATGTAAGAAAAAATATTTTACTTCAATTCTATATATAGCATGTAAAAATAAATAACTTTATTTTATTTTGATCAATATTTTTTATTAAAATAGATATAAATTTTTAAAATTTGTTTATACAATCATAAATCTTCTACGAAAAAATATTTCTATCATTTTTTCCTTCCATGAACTTCCTCAAATGTTGTCTCATGTGAAACTCTACACAACCATGCATATATCATAAAAATTAATTAGAACAACACATATAAGTTTATATAATTGTAAAAAGGAGTAGAGAAAATAATACCGAGATAAACTATGGGGAGGGTTAGGGCCACCACATTTGATTTTGCAACGTTCAAAGCAATTACCATCGTGTGCATCACAATGCTTTGAACACTTTCGGAAACAACGAATCCAATCCTTTTTACTCCATTTTGCTTCTACCGTCACCACAACAATCATCACCATCATTATCAATACTATTGCACTCCATTTTGCCATCTTTTGATATTCTTATAGTCTTACAAAAGGAAATTTTGTTTTGAAACTATTAATTGTTTTTCTCTGATAATATATTATTTTGCAAAACATCAACTTCTATTTATATTACATTTGGCATAAACTTAATTATATTTTTCTTTCTTTTTCTTTTTATAAAAATACTTTTCCTAGTATAATTTACCAACATTGATGTTTTGTGTGGTCTTAATTGGTTTTATCTTTAAAGTCCTTCGTATTTTTATTCAAAATTAAGTATGTTTTTCAGTATAATATTTTATATAAAAAGATCACTTTAGAATACATTAATAGATAGATTTTGTATGCATGATTTTATTTGTTGGTTAAATCCACTTTATAAGAACACATTAATTTTCATTTACTAAAATCTGTTGTGAAAGGTGTTTTACCTTGTCTTTATCAACTTTTCTTTACGTTTTAAAGAATCAATTATGAGTTTGCCATTTTTTTGGGCCAAGTTTTTGATTTTGCCATTTTTCAAGTTAAAAAAAAAATATGATTAAGCACATATTTTACTCGTTATTTTCTATTTAGTGTTTATTATTTACTATAAAGTACGTACTTTATAAAAAATGAACATTTTTAAAAGTTCAAAAATGGCAAATCCATAAAATTTTAACAAAAATGGCACATTCGTAAAGTTTGCCCTAGAAAAATGGCAAAATGCGTAATAACCCCATGTTTAAATAGATAGATTGAATAGTATCTTTGTGACAAAAAAAAAGACAATTATTTTTACTTTATCATTTGTATGTATATTATTTTTTAGAGAATTTTTGAGAAATACCCATTTTGGTGTACCCCTTTTTAAAAATACCCCCTTTATCTATCCATTTTCAAAAATACCCCTTTGAAAATATAAAAAATTATAAAGTTTTATATAGTTTATAAGGTACTTCTATATAATAACTACTACTGGGAGATTCGATACAAATATTTTAAAATGTTTTAAATAGTTTTAAATCGTTTTTATAAGTTTTATAAGGTTTTTAAAAAGTTTTTAAAAGGGTTTATACGGTTTTTATAAGGTTTTTATAAGGTTTTTATAATTTATTTTTACGGTATTTATGAAAGGTATATAAAGTTTTATACACATATAAAGGTAATTTGTGTATATATTTATAAGCTTACACACATATTTGGATAAATTTCAACATTTTTAGTGGGTTTTTTGATAAAGTTTGAAAAGGGGGTATTTTTAAAAAGAGGTATATGAAAAGGGGTATTTTTGAAATTCCCCCTTATTTTTATCAGTTTTAATATATTACATATTAATTTATCATAGTTTTATGGAGAGATCATTTCCGTGAATCTCCTATGCTTTAGAAAAATCAAATCTATTCATTTTGAGTGATTTATTGAAAGATTTGTCAATAAATTTATTTTATCAATATTCTTTTTATAGATTTTTATAATAAATATTTCAAAAATGGTAGACAAGATCATAAATCTTCTAAGAAAAAATGTTTCTTTTATTGTTTCTTTCCGTGAACTTCTCCATATCTTTTCGCATGTAAGATTCTAGCCATGCATATATAAGGAAAATTAGAACAACACATATAAAGGAAGGTGCTTAGAGCAACTCCACTGGTCGATTTTTAATGGTTGCTTAAGTTAAAAATGGGCCAGCTATAAATGTTAAAAGAAGAAAAGGGGCCCAGGAAGAGAGGAAACGATGCTTCTTCAGGCAACGGAAGCAACCCGGAAGCAACGCAACGTGGCACCTATTGATTGGTTGAAGCTGAAAATAGGAAAAAAAACAAAATAAAATTTTCTCTCCATTTTCACTTTTCCTCTCACTTCTCTCTCTTTCCCGACTTTCTAAAAAAAAATATCTCCTCTCACTTTTCTCTCCATTTTTCATTCTGAAAATATAAAAGAGAAAAAATATGTTTTTTTATTTCAAATGTAATATATGTAATTTTAATTTTTCCAATTTAGTATCATATGTTTCCAATTATGAATTATGTAAAAAATAAATTCAAATGTAATAAATATAATTTATTTTTTCAATTTTGTATAATATGTTTCTAATTTCCGAATTTTGTAAAATATTTATCTTTCTTTTTAATGTAATCTATGTAAATTTAATTTTTAATTGTTAATTTGCATTATTTATTAATTTATTTAAATTTGAAAAATATATTATAATAATGCTTAAGTACCCATGAGTTGGATCATGAGTGGAAAGCTTTTTTCTTTACCATTGCTAATTGATTTTTTTATTTAGTTTTATTAAAGTTTAATTAAGCAATTAATGTTAAGCACCCATGAGTTGGATCATGAGTGGAGTTGCTCTTATGCTTCTAAACTGTAACACATTCCACTTATTTTGCCTTGTCCGTGGCGTAAAATTAAGTTTGTCAAAATAAGCTTGGTCTTACGTATATATACAACGATAGAATGTTTATATATTTATAACATAATTTGTGAAGAAAATTGTATCTTTTGATGACTCCACATATATGTTAACGATGGTTCTTATCAAATTACTTGAACAAATATTTAGGTCATCAAGACATAACAATGCAGAGAGGCAAAGGGTGATGTTGTGGTTGTGGCAAGAAAGAGCGACAGAGTAGATTTGAGACATGGTATTTTCTTTTCTTGCTTTTAGATACTGATGAGTTTTGCTCACATTTTTATTAATTAAATGGCCTCAAGGTTTAAAGACTGTAAAACAACACTCAGGTTTTAAACTCATGTTTTATCACAACAACTCAAGGTCTAATTTTTATTTTATCTTAAAACAAAAACTCAAGGTTTCTTGACATAATTCTAACGTTTTAATGAAACTCTTAAATAGTTGACATGATCATAAATCCGCGACAGATTTCGTCTATATCATTCTCTCTCTCCGTGAACTTCCATTGATTGCCATCTCATCATGTGAGCTCCTTCTATTCATGCATATATATAATTAGAATTTAGGAAATACACATATGATGTATATATGAAATTAAAGACATATATAAATTATACATACCGTTAACGAGTTAAGGAAGGGACAGGGCCACCACATTTAATTTTACATCTTTCAAAACAATTGCCATCGTCATCGCGACAAGGACTAGAACATAGACGAAAGCATCGAGTCCAACCATTGTCTTGTTCTCGAACTTTTGTTGTGACCGCGACAGTTAAGGGAGGGACAGGGCCACCACATTTGATTTTACAGCTTTCGAAACAATTGCCATCGTCATCGCGGCAAAGACTAGAACATTGACGGAAACAACGAATCCAACCATTTTCTTCTTGTGCAGCTTCTATTGTAACCGCAACAATCATCACCATCATCATCAATACGATCGCACACCACTTTGCCATTGTCTTTTCTACCTTCTTAGATCTTTTATCTTTTTTTTTTTTGAGAATGTTATATTATTTTTTATGAAACCAAGCTCTAATTAAATAGGTGACTAGATACATTCATCTCTCTCTCTCTTTTTTTGGTTTAATTTTAAGTAGATTTTATTCTTAGGTTGACCATGATTTGTTTTTGTGATTTGTTACTTTATTTTCATGATTCATTGTTATATTAATTTGAGCAAATACATATAACCAGTAACAAGCTAGCATTGTAAAATCCATTTCTTTAGTCAACTATATCGATGTAGCTAGGTACATGGATCTACTCAATGTTCTTCTCCTCTTTCGGATTCTCATTATCTAAGCAACGAATCCAATCCTTTTTACTCCATTTAGCTTCTACCATCACCACAACCATCATCACCATCATTATCAATACAATTATATTATGTTTTTCTCTAATAACAGTTATATTATTTTCCAAAACATCAACCTCTATTTATATTACAATTTTATAAGCTTAAATAGATTTATCATTTTTATATAAAGTACTTTCCGGAGAATTATTTATCAACATTGAGGTTTGGTGTGTTCTTAATTGGTTTTATCTTTAAAGTCCTTCGTATTTCTATTCAAAATTAATTAAGTATGTTTTCAGTATAATAAATTATATAAAAATATCACTTTAAAGTACATTAATAGATAGATTTTGTATGCTTGATTTTATTTGTTGGTTAAATCTACTTTATACACATTAATTTTCATTTACTAAAATCTGTTGTGAAAGATGTTTTACCTTGTCTCTTTCAACTTTTCTTTTCGTTTAGATAAATAGTTTTAATAGTATCTTTGTGAAAGAAAAAAAAAAGACAGTTTATCACATTATTTTTACTCTATCATTTGTATTTATTTTTACTTTATCATTTGTAATCTATCACATATTAATTTATCATATAGTTTTATGGAGGGATCAATTTCCGTGAATCTCTTATGCTTTGGAAAGATCGATCAATTCTTACTCAATAAGGAGAATGATTACATTTTGGGTGATATTGAAAGATGTGTCTTGATGGCAAAGGCCTTTAGGTTCAAGCTTTTCGAAGCTCATGGCCAACCCATTTGAGGCTTTAATTTGAATACAATTGTCTCAAGAATATATATTTCTTTTGGTCAAATAGCATAATATTGTAACCATTTTCATTTTGATTTTTTAATGTAATATGGGGGAACATAAAGTAATGATCTAGCATCTGTGAAAACTCATTTCTAGTTTTTTGGTCTACCCTTAGCATGTTGCATGTATGTGAAAACTAACTTTGTAAATGAACAATCAGAATTAGCCTTCTGATACAAATTGAACAAGTACATACATATTAAATTTAACAAAATATCTCAGATAGTCAGATTTATGCATATATATATTCTACATTGAAATTAACTCTTATTTCTTTTATGTTACTCTGTAAAAATATTATGAAAAAGAAACTTTGGCACTTCTACAGTGTAAAAATACATAAATTTATTTTATCAATATTTTTTTTAAAAGATTTTTATAGTAAACATAAAAGTTAAAAAATGGTAGACAAGATCATAAATCTTCTACGAAAAAACTGTTTCTATTATTGTTTCCTTCAGCGAACTTCCCCATATGTTTCCGCATGTGAGATTCTATCCATGCCATATATCAGGAAAATTAGTACAACACATATAAGTTATATAATCGTAGAAAGGAATAGAGAAAATAATACCATGAGTGAACTATGGGAGGGCCATAGGGAGATGAAGGAGGGCCATGGGGAGGGTTTGGGCCGCCGCATTTGATTTTGCAACGTACATAGCAATTACCATCCAGCTCTGGACATGGCTCTGAACAATTGCGAAAACAGCGAATCCAATCTTCTTGAGTCCATTTTGCTTCTACTACCACCACGACAATCATCACCATCATTATCACTACTTTTGCATTCCATTTTGCCATCTTTTGATCGACTTGGATTCCTACAGAATAAAACTTTGTTTATCAGTTTTTTTCTGATAATAGTTATGTAATCATTTCAAGAAATTAACCTCTATATATATATTACAGTTGGTATAAATTTTAGTAGATTTTTTTTATACAATATTTTTAGTAGATTTTTTACCAATATTGATGATTTGTTTAGTCTTAACTGGTTTAATCTGTTAAATTTTCTTTTTTTTCTTTCCAAAATCAGGTATGTTCTTACAATATTTAATTTTATAACAATAAATATATGCATATTATTTAGCCAGAAATGTCTTTTAGGAATAGTTTAGTTCAAGAGTTTCTTTCTTCATTTTTCATTCTATTAGATAGAAATGACATTATGATTAATTACATTTTTCATTTATGCTATGAGTGGTATATTTCAATAATGTAATTTTCTTCTAATTTGACATAAAGTACACAGTAAATTTCATATTCAAGATGAGTTTACATTTTTTTTTAACTATAATTTATATCTATAGTTTCAATTTTATTTTATTTTTTTGTAAAAAATGAAAACTTATTATAATTTTTCGAACTTAATGGCAAACCAATATTTTAAATGCTGGTGCAGATTAAACGACAACTATCTAAACTATTGGGTTGCCATTAAATTAGATAAGATAGTAATTCTTTTGTAAAAACTTCTAATAGTTTTCACTAGTTATAATAAATAGTTTGCCTTGGACTGTTAGATTTGTCTTCAACATGTCAAGAAAATTTGTAAGAATTGCTTGATAATTTGTCTTCTTTTAAAGAAAACCACATTCTAATATAACCCCAATAATATCAAATACGCCAGACTTAAGCCGAAACGCTTAAAACTTAACAATGCAATTATGAAGCTATTCAAGCATGCATAAAATAGATAGTTTAGTTTCCCAAGTTAATGTTCTCTTGTAAATTTTGTTGATGTGAATCTTGTCTTGTAAGTTCTTCTAATTAACTAATCTCATATTTTCTATCATTTCATCATACTAATCTTTTAACTGTATAGGTAAACCATAAAAATTGGAGAATTAAGACCAAGTATAATTTTCTCTAGACAAATTTTCAAGCTTATAGACACATGTTTTATCACAACAACTCAAGGTCTCGTTTTAATGAAACTCTTAAATAGTAGACATGATCATAAGTCCGCGACAAATTTCGTCATTCTTTCTCTCCGTGAACTTCCATTGATTGCCATCTCATCCCGTGAGCTTTTTCTATTCATGCATATATATAATTAGAATTTAGGAAATACACATATGATGTATATATGAAATTAAAGACATATACAAATTACACATACCGTTAATGAGTTAAGGAAGGGACAGGGCCACCGCATTTAATTTTACATTTTTCGAAACAATTGCCATCGTCATCGCGACAAGGACTAGAACATAGACGAAAGCATCGAGTCCAACCATTGTCTTGTTCTCCAACTTTTGTTGTGACCGCGACAGTTAAGGGAGGGATAGGGCCACCACATTTGATTTTACAGCTTTCGAAGCAATTACCATCATCATCGCGGCAAGGACTAGAACATGAACGGAAACAACGAATCCAACCATTTTCTTCTTGCGCAGCTTCTATTGTAACCGCAACAGTCATCACCATCATCATGAATACGATCGCACACCACTTTGCCATTGTCTTTTCTACCTTTTTAGATCTTTTATCTTTCTCTCTTTTTATATTTTGAGAATGTTATATTATTTTTCATGAAACCAAACTCTAATTAAATAGGTGACTAGATACATTCATCTCTCTTTTTTTTTTTTTTTAAACTTAAGTAGATTTTATTCTTAGGTTGACCTGATTTGTTTTTGTGATTTGTTACTTTATTTTCATGATTTATTGTTATATTAATTTGAACAAATACATATAACCATTAACAAGCATAGTAAAATACATTTCTCTAGTCAAGTATAAGAAAAGGTATTTACCTTTCGATGTAGGTACATGGATCTACTCAGTGTTCTTCTCCTCTTTCGGATTCTCATACTTGGCATGGTTGAATTGACCATCATCACCAAATCCCAAAAATCCATTTGTAAAAAGATTCTTACTCGTCATGAATTAAGTTACTAATAGGATTTGACAGTTTTCCCAATCCCATATTATATACAAGGGACACAATTTGTTTGATATGGAAGGCATCAATTTCACATAGACACTTTCAGTTACTTAGTGGGAAATCTAAACGTAATATACGACACAATATAAAAAAATGTTCGTAAGTAACACTTCCGTACATAAAATGAATAAGTAGAGTGACAGAGAATCACCTTGCCTTAATCCTCTTTTCGACATTATTTAACCTCTAAGTTGTCCATTAAATAAAAACACACTAATTTACGGAATAAACATACCACATAATCCATGATTAGCCTAAACTTCTCTCCGCCAAGAAACTAGGCGTGTGCAAGCACAAGCTACTTTTATAGCAATAAGAAACTCTAACTATAGCAATAAGATTGAAGTTTATCGTAATTACAAAAATAAAATGCAAAAGATTTACAACTAAAAAGCCATCCTAAGTAATGAACTCGAAAAAGCCGAAGGAGAGTCCATTACGAGACGTAAGACTCACGCTACATTATGAATCTTTTCTTGTAAGTTCTTCTAAAGAACTAATCTCATATTTCTGTCATTTCATCTTACTAATCTTTTAACTGTAAAGGTATACCATAAAAAATGGAGAATTAAGACCAATCTTTATCTTTTGGATATTTTTTTTCTTTATGTTATCTCATAGATCTAAATCAGCTATAGCAAAAAGGGGAATAGGGGATAATATATAATACATTAATAGGACATGTTATATACTGTATGACAAAAAAAAAATATACTGTATAATATTTTTCTAGATCTAGTACATGATAGATGATGAGAGTTACCACAATAAATAACGTAACGTACGAAAACTATATACAAGTTTAACCATCATATAGTATAATCCTATTCCTGGTCCAAATGTTTATTCAAGTGAAATATATAGTTTTAAAATTCAGCACACAAACATACATCAAACATGCATGAGCCGAAAGTACTCGATCGGGAAAAGTAGATAGATCGATGTTAGCTTGACTTTTAAAATCAGCGACGCTTCGACCTCCTCATTCGTAACCTCGTCTCTGTCGGAAAAATGTGTGTAATTAATCCCTATATTTTCTACCAAATTATAAAAACCAAAAAAAAAAAAAAAAAAGATTTCAGAGGAATGAAATAAAAAATAATTAGGGTTTTCTTTTCTTGGTCTTAATTAGTTCCTTCACATGTAAATGATACTATGAGACTCCAGTTTCGATTTATTCAAAGAGATCAATCAAAACTTGTGAATATATATATATATATATATATATATATATATATATATATAACTTATTCTGTCAAGAAAATTGTATCTTTTGATGACTCCACATATATGTTAACGATGGTTCTAATATTATTAAATTACTTGAACAAATATTTAGGTCATCAAGACATAAAAATTCAGAGAGGCAAAGGGTGATGTTGTTGCAAAAAAGAGCGATATTTTTTTACCAATAAAATATTACATCATATTTTTTTATTGGTTGATTTCATTTTATTAATTTGTGTGTAAAAATCTTAAACATCAAATAAATAAAAACACAGAGAGTAGACATAATCACAAATCCGCGACAAATTCCGTCTATATCATTCTCACTTTCCGCAAACTTCCATTGATCCCATCTCATCATGTGAGCTCCTCCTATTCATGCAAATATATAATGAGAATTTAGGAAACACATATGATGTTTGTTCAGAAGAAAAAAGGAAACACATGATGTAGATATGAAATTAAAGACATATATAAATTATACATACCGTTAATGTGTTAAGGAAGCAAAAGGGCCACCGCATTCGATTTTACAGAATTCGAAGCAATCGCCATCGCCATCGCGACAAGGCCTAGAACATTGACGGAAACAACGAGTCAAACCCTTGTCTTGTTCTCCAGCTTTTTTTGTGGCCGCAACGGTTAAGGGAGGGACAGGGCCACCACATTTGACTTTACACCTTTCTAAGCAATTGCCATCGTTATCGCGGCAAGAACTAGAACATAGACGGAAACAACGAATCCAATCATTTTCTTCTTGTCCAGCTTCTATTGTGACCGCAACTGCCATCACCATCATTATCAATACGATCGCACACTTGTCTTCTCTACTTCTTAGATCTTTTATCTTTCTTTTTCTTTATCTTAAGAATGTTATATTGTTTTTCATGAAACCAAACTCTATTTAAATAGGTGATATGATACATTCATCTCTCTGTTTTTTTTAAGGTAGATTTATTCTTACGTTGACCACGAGTTGTTTTGTGATTTCTTACTTTATTTTCATGATTCATTGCTATATTGATTTCAAAAAATACATATAACCAGTAACAAGCATAGTAACATATATATTTTAATATAGAAGGTTTTTTTTTTGTAATTAGAAATAGTTCTTGCCGTCTTATCTAATTAGTGAAAAATGCTGAGATGGTACAACGACACGTCAGTGTGTATTGGCGTCAAGATTCAAATGAAAACCTTTAAAAAAAAAAAAAAAAAAAGCTCAAAAAAAGCTCTCCAACGGCTCTCTTCTTGGAACTCAGATGATGCGACCAAAACGAGGAGCTCATAAAGTTTCTTCCTTTTGCGAAAAGAAGCCCTAATTCAATATACTCTAATTCAATTCTCTTGATATTTTTTGAGATTTGATATTTTTATTCACATAACAATGGAGTCTACGCCTCCTTATCATCGATCGAACACTAAATCAGTTGCTTCGCGTCTGGCTCGTGTTAATAGTTCTGTCCAAGAAGCATCTCAAAGTCTCTCTCTTGATTTGGTTCTATCGTCTCCGAACCCATCATCACCTGTCTCTCTCAGATCCTCCTCTTCCCCTGTTCCTCTTGGCGATATCCTCCTCTTATCTCCTTCTCCGCTTCGCAAATCGAGGACCCGTTTAGCCGATCGACTCGAAATGGCTTCTGAGGATGCTGCGGCGGATCCAGCTGCTGCGGTGGTGCGTAAGCGTGGTAAGGGGAAAGGAGGGCAAAAGGGTCTTTTAGTTTCTCCAAGGAATCCCCGGAGATCGAGGCGGAGATCGGAGGCGGTTGTGGAAGAGAAAGACGCTAACTTGGTGGTCGATGATGTTATCGTAAAGCCTAGGAAACGTAAGACGAATGGTCGCTCTAAGAAGGATAAGCAAAGTGTGTCAGCTCCTTCTTCAGATCTTCCAAGTACTCTTCTTCTTTCTCTGAGCTTTTATCATCAATCATCATACGCTTATGTGTTTCTGATTTGGTGTTTGTGTGTTTGGATTTGTTGATATGGTGAAGATGATTGTCAAAGCGATTTGAATAGTATCGGAGAGATTATCAGTGATTTGGTTATGTGGAGAGATGTTGCGAAATCGACCCTCTGGTTCGGTTTTGGGTGTTTGTCTTTCTTATCTTCTTGCTTTGCCAAAGGAGTCAACTTTAGGTACATACATACATTAGTATCCTCTCTAGTTTGTATTTTCTCTTGGATTAGGCTCAGCCTGATGTCAAAGTCATGACCTTTTTCTTTGTTTTGAAGCGTTTTCTCGATGGTTTCCAACCTAGGACTTGTGTTACTTTGCGGCTCGTTCTTGTCAAACACTCTTTGTCAAAGGTATACTCTACTTCTGTGGTCTCTTTGCAGTTTTGTTTGGCCTTCTCCAGAAGCTGCTAATGATATTTAGTTTGATCCATCAATGTTTTTATCTTTAGGGATAATGAAGAGACTAAGAGGGTGTTCCATGTGAGTGAAGATGATGTCTTGCGCTTAGCTAGACGAGTGCTTCCTGCAGCCAACTTTTTTATCTCAAAGGCTAGTGAGCTTTTTTCAGGAGAACCATCAATGACACTCAAAGTAAATATCGACGTTTGCTTCTCCCTCTCTCTCTATCAAATTAGTTTAGGTGGTTTACTTGCCCTTTCATCTGTTGTTTCTCTTTTGTAACAGGTGACACCATTTCTTCTACTTGGAGCTGAGTACGGTCATTTCATAACACTGTGGAGGCTATCCGCATTTGGTATAACATTTGGAACACAAACTGTAACATTGTTAAGCATGATAGGAACTGAGCTGATATGTGTGTAATGTTACTGAAACAGGTTTTTTCCTCAGCTTCACCATTCCAAAGCTGTATTCATGTTACACCGATCAGATTAGCCAAAGAGGTGAAAAAACGAATTGCACCCATTTAGATAATGTCAATTTGGTTACAATCAGCAGTCAAGTGTTTGTAGAGGTCTTTAACTGGTTCAATGATTTTAAATCTTGACTTGATTTGAGTTTCATTTGTGCAGTTGAAAGAGTGAAAACCAGAATAGGTGAAGCATGGGGAGTCTGCTCGCACAAGAAGATCTTGGCCGGCTCTGCAGTGACAGCCTTTTGGAACTTGACAAGCATAAGAACCCGAATTTTTGCGGGTAAATTGACCTAACCAATGGTTGACAGAGTATTTGATTTGCCTAATATCAAGATATAACCTTTTAGTCTTTCATGTTTTGCAGTTTTTATCATCCTAGTGATATTTCGGTATAAGAGACAGAATATAGAGCTATATCCCGAGGAAGTCGAGCCTGTTGAGGATGACAAACCTGTTGAGGATGACAAGCCAGAAAAAGAAACCTTTCCACAGAAAGTAGATTCAGTTCCAGAGGAAGGAGATTCAGTTCCAGAGGAAGAAGAACAGATACAGCCATCAGAAGAGCGAGCTTTAGTGGTGGTGGTTGCAGAAACTGAAGGATCAAAAAACCTCTAGTGTTTGCATTTGTGACTAATTACATTAAACAGAGATGCAATTTTAAATCTCGAGTTTATAATAGAGAGGATGGAGGATATCTGTTTTTGTTATGAAAATTTGAAGACAAAGAGATCCATTTAACAAAGCTTCTCATCTCTCACCGACACTACAATGTTACATAAAGGACATGGGACAAGAAGTAACTTAAAACCTTCATTCAAGTTTAAGGTCGAATTAAGTGTCAAAACTGCTCCTTGCTATTATATCATTGATTGTAATGTATCCAAACTCATGGATGTTTCCATGTTTTAAATTAGTAAAAGTGGTATGTTTTGGGTTTACAAGATTGCAATTTTGATTTTTGAGTTTGTTTTGATGCAACAGAGATCATGGAGTGTTGAAATAAAAGATGGGAGGACATTTGTCTTTGATATGGAAATTGAAGACAGAGATCATTTGTGTTTGAGCAGTACAACAATTATTCTTTGCCTAAACTCTCTTAAGCTTCTCTCGAATTCGCATTGGGTACGCGTAGACATCATCAAAAGTCCTCTTTGCAAGCTGATAAATTATACCAAACATCAGTAACTCGTCTAACCAATACAACATGGCTTAATAGGCTGAAAACAAACACAACTCTCCAAGAAAATCAGATTAAAAAAAAAAAAGAAAAATCAAGAGGGTTTTTGTTCCTAAGTTTTCTGGGGAAGAAAGGCTTTAAAAGGTAGAGTTTTGTACATAAACTGTTGCTTCAGTGTTCTTCTGGCTAACTCATCACACATCATCATTGCAAGCTGGGAGTATAAGACCAATCAGTAATTATTCCTTCATTAAATACTCTACAAATCAACTCAAATGGAATAACCAACAAGAAAAGACCGCACTTTCCATTAAAAAAATGCCGGGTACATGTAAGAAGACATGACGAACCGGCTCTGAAACACAATGCAGCATCAAACATTGATCATTGTATCTAAAGCCTAGTGTCTGAAACCCAGCCTAATTGTTTATAGAAAAGTTCATAGAATGTTATTTGCAGGAAACGCACATCTTGGCTTCTTTGTCTTCATATACTCTTGTGTCAGCCTACAACATCGAAAAACTAGACCAATTGAGCCGCCATCTCTTTTCAACATTAAGCAGAAAGACAACAACAATTGATCCAGTTTTTCAACCATAGCAACAAACAAAAGAATCTAAACTGACTGAAGCTTCTTAAATGGCAAATCTAACATCTTTCTCAACCCATGTCTGATACAAACATCTATAAAGCCGATACAGAAACAGTTCTCACAACAAGTCATCAAACAAACAAAAAAATCATATTCAAGCATTACAGAATCTAAAGAAAAGGATTTGGGAAAGTTACCGTCAGAGAGCCAGCCATAGCTTTGCCCTGAGATAGAGAGCTTTGAAGTCAATAACGCTGAAGCTGTAGCCGTGTGGTATGGCAACATTGACTCCACACAAAAGCTCAGTTCCACAGGATTGCTATCATCACATCAAAAATAAACAAAATGAATGTATTAAGTAATGATAGTGAGGTCTTCTTCATTGAAATTTACATCAAGATACAAAATCCTTCTTTTTTCACAAATTGGCTTGAATTGGTACCCTTTTCATAAAATTCTTCATTCAAAGATATAAACTTTGGATCACATATCTCCTCAAGTAGCACAGAAGTATGAAATGGGATCAAATAAGAAAATGGGTAAAACAGCAGAAAGGCACATGAGACAAACCGGAGAGGAGAAAGCAGTGGGCTTCTTCTGGCAGTAGCTCTAAACAAAGGCGGGGCTGATTTCGCTTGAGAGGCGAAGCGACCAGTGGAAGCACCGACGCTCCGAGACGAAGCAGCTCGAAGCATCGATCTGGCGACGGCGGATGCGGCCATCGGAAGAGAGAATGAAATGAAGATCAAAAACTACGGCTGCGAAGAGAAAGAAGAGATTTTGGAGAATTCGATTGGCTTCCGATTACGATTACGGGGAAATGAGATAAACCCTATGAAACCGTTGAAGGCCTCTTTTTGTTTGGACGAAACGTTATTTTCCATATAAACGCGCGTTTGCGACGATTCTGTTTAGTTGGGCCTTTCGAAGGCCCAATTTCACTACTCTGTATTTTAAAAGTTGTCTGCACAGTACAGTAGTGTGTAAGATGCTTTTAGAAGTAAGTAATTGTCACTATGGGATCATTTATGGATCGTGAATTGGTTTATGCTGACGATAAAAAGTTCAATATTTGATGTATTGACTTGAGCGACTAAAACAAACATAGACTAAAGTTGTACGTGTCATATATAGAAAGATCCCAAGATCATGAAAACAAAGCTTAACCGGATATAGAAAGAAAAAAAGGCATAAAAGCAAAAGATCATAGATGAAATAATGCAAAACTAGTGACAACTGATAGATAATGCAGTAGGAAGCAGAAGCATCCCTCATCACTCCTCTCTGTAGTCTGGGTTCTCCTTTAAGATGATGAATCCTTCTAGTATCGGCGACAGAGGAATGTATCTGTTTGCCAGTTACATACAATCCGAGTTTTGTAATCAGATACCAAAGCTTTTCATTTGAAAAAGAAAAAAGACAAGGGTAAAAAGGGAGGAAGAAGAACATACTTGTCTGTGGCTAGTTCGGCTCTCTCTCCAGCAGCCAAGAGAACAGGTGTAGAGTGTGTCTGGAAACCTGTTATGGTCTTGGGGCGACCCGCTTGTCCAACTACATCAACTGCTTGTCCAACCCGCACTGGCACTGACAGTGGCTTCAGGTTTTCATCTACTGTCAACATCATCCTTGGCTACATTTTTATAAACAAAAGTTAGGATCAAAGTCAATCATAGCAACTAGCAAGTCCAACAGAACTAATTAACAGAAGGGAGAAAGACGGGACTATGATGCACTCACTTGCATCGCCAAGACGAGGAAGTACAGCACATAATGGTATTTCCCCAGTATGATTGGTTTCATGTCAAGGCATGCATGCAAAAGTGTCACTATACCGGCAAGTGCGGTTCTGCATGAATAAGGTTCACATGAGCAAAGTCAGGATTCACATGACAAAGCTTTAAAAAAAATCCAACCATCAAAAATCTCTAGTTATAGTGGTAACAGAGAGAATGATCAACTTACGGCGATAGCAAGAACCGTTCTGAGTGGAAGGGGCTGAGTGTTAAGAGGCCCTTTCCCATGTGCACCAGCCCTTGAGCAATACGCACCTGCATAATGAGTTGCCTCGTGAGTTCAATAATTCCAACAAGAACAACAGTTTTACTGTGAGTGGACAAAACAAAAATGAGGAGCACATTACACAGAAGAGAAGACTGGTGTCCTTGTAATAATAGCTGGAGAGGTTCCGAAGCATCCCGGCTATCCTTGCGTTATTAGTTCCAGCGCCAATCAGTCCCAATGATATAATTGCTGCCTGTAGGAGTTAAAAGAAAGATCAGTCCCCTCTCAATACTAATCAATGGAATAACTAGTAGACAGACAGTGAAGCGAAATGATACTAACCATGGCAACTTCCGAATCTGTGTCATGACTAAGCCGGCTCAAGGTGTCCATTACAGTCACCTGGAATTGTGGGAAAAATAAAAAACCAGCATTAACTCTATTAAACAGCCAGCAATATTATGTAAGCAGGTGAAGTAAAACTAGATTTACAAAAGTATCACCTTTGGATTTGATATACATAGAAGACCAAGGGCTAATGGTACAGCACGCCGAATGTTTTGTTCTCCATATTGTAACATCCGCTCCAAAGAACGGATCTCCATATCAATGCCCAGTTCTTCAGACATAGCAACCATTGCTAATCCAAGTACAGCTGGACCCTGGTGGATATCACCTTTCTCAAGATGCTCTCCACACTGAGCAAGAAGGTCTTGGACCTGAACATATTAGTGGGAGTCAACAACTAAACTAAAAGCAATGAATTGTACCAACTAACCACCAGCACAACTAATTAGATACCTTTAGGACATTCCCAGTTCCAGCATAAGCACAGGAAAGAAGTGTCATATCACAATACTTTCTAATCTTCTCATTGAAGGTCTTTGAAACTTCAGCTGTAGCCTCTACACTTTCCTGGTAGATAATGAAACAAGTTGATGATGAGAAACGCAAATTATTATTTATGTACATAGAGCTAGATTAAGTACAACACATAGCCAACCTGTTTGCCCAGGTATAGAAGTCCAAGACCAAGTGGCAAGAAACGAGTGAGGGCATCTCCCAGTTCTGCCTCACTTCGATCCATCAAAGCAAATATAATAGACTGTGCCACTTCTTCGTTACAGGAACCAACATAGATCATTCCCAAAGAAAGTGAAGCGAATGCAATCACATCAAGAGGCGCTTTCGCATCATTCAGTATCGGAGACAATTTGCTTCTAATCTGTAAGAAACAGTGCACATGTTAATGTTTTGTGAACACCTAAAACATTTAACTAATAATATAGAAAAGAAAATAGCATGTCTTGACCTGGTCATTTTGGGAACCAGCATATGAAATTCCAAGACCCATTATAGCACCAATTCTGACAGACGAATCCTCTTTGTCTATATAGTCTCCAAGAAGTGCTAATGCCTGAGAAATAAAGCTGAGTGAGATGGAAGAATAGCTGACAATATTAGCACATATCATTCCTGCAAACATAACATCAACTCACAGGATCACAATCGTTCTTAACGCCACAATTTACAATCCCAACTCCCAGCAGTGCTCCAGCAATGATAGGATTATCATTACTATGAAAATATTTGTCTAGTTGGGAAAGTCCGGAGTCTACATCCCACAATTGAATCATACCCTATCATAGGGAAACAACAAGATCTGGTTATAATTTCTACTTCCATGATCTGAACACAGAAAATATATTCATCAAATAAAAAAAAGTATACCAGACTAGCAGCTGCACTAGTCTTGCCATGTTCTTTATTTTTGAATAGCCAATTTCCAGAAGATCCGGTGGTTGAGTCTGAAGTTACTGTCATTAGTTTGTCCTGCAATAAGCAAATATATTAAGAGGACATATCTTCCACTAGATCTTTTTTTATAACAATCTGCAAACATACCTGACCAAAACCAGCATTTACAAAGGCATTGACAAAGGTAGCAGCCAAATTCTGTCTAGCAGAATCCACGCTTGCACCAGAGCTGGCCCTGCCATCGAGCAAGTGAGCCTACAAAGTTCAAAGGGATAGATTAAAGACTGAGGAAAACATTTGCAACTAAATAAACGAGTAGCAGACCTAACATCCATTAAAACTGATTTACCTTGTAGATGTCTTCAGGTGTTTTGGCCTCCATGACCTCAATATCCCTTGCAAGAGTCAGATATCCTTCACTTAACTTAGTGTTGTTTACAATATCCTGTAAGGCTTCTCGGTCATCATCATCTGCAACCATCTCATCATCAAGGTCAAAGGTTATACCCTGCGAAAAGAAGCATAAGAAAGTATGTCAGTCGGTATTATGTCTCTATATGAACGGCAATTTTAAGCAGTGATGCAGCAGTTAATCAACGTCTGCCATAAAAGAGAATAAATGGAGGACAAGGTGAAAGAATGAAGTCTTTACAGACAAATAATACAAAGTTGGACTAAAAAGAGAGACGTCAAGGAACTAGCCCAATATCCATGGCAAATCAAGAAACAGATTCAAATTCCCTCCAGATCATGCTCGAGAACAACTACAAAAAGTTTTCTCATTTTTTATCTATTGATTTTATGTGACATCAGGAAAGTTAAATACACTCGAACAAAAGCACAACCAACTCAGATAGCATATTGGAGTAAGATCCAAAATCAAAACATACTTACAGAAAAGAAGGAATGATATGTAGTTGTTAAATGTAGTGAAATAGAGATAGTTAAGGACTTACATGACGAGCAATCATGTAGCAGAACTGTTTCTTCCTTAGCAGATCAGCACATGAGGTAAATACTTGTTTAACGTACTGCAATACAGAAAATATATCATGGAGCACATTAAACATCAAAAAATCCAGACAAATACTCAATATACTTGACATAGAGGATTCATTTTTCCAGCTGCTACACATACAGAAAGAATTAAATGATACTACGTTCTATAGGAAGATTAAATTCCGACCTGCGTGTTATCAAGAAATAGTGCAATCTGCAGAGCGTTTGGATATTCTTCAAACTTCATGTAAATCATGTAGGAAATATCTAGAACCAACATGTCATCTGGTCCAGGAAGGTACCTGCAAATTCAAATATATAAGACGTCAAAGAGATTTTTGAGCGCAATATAGACAAAGTTCATTACTTGTTTCTACATGACTGGTCTAAGAAATATCAGTAAAATAAAAAGATGGCTGGTCTAAACCGCAAATAAGATTGGAGAACATTAAAATTAATAAGGATTGAGAATGTTGAAAGTACTTTGCTGCACTTGTGAGATAGTTGCATGTCCTCTTGAAATTTGTTTTGTCTACATGCTCAAGTAAGAGATCAAGATCCTCAACATCCATTAAAAGGTCAACAGCTTCGGTTTCTGCATTATGCTGCAAGGAGTAAAATGAAACCATTTAGACAGATAAAAACCCCAAAGGTCTAGTCTCAAGCCTATTAATTATTAAATCCATTCCTATATATGCACGACAAGGGCCAAAGAAACAAAGAAAATATAACAACCGTTAGAAATTTACCTTCATGTGAAAAGCAACAATTTGCTGCACAAGCTCCATTAAATCGTCAATAGGGGCCTCTTCACTCTGAGATAATGAGATAACCATGACTCAGTAACCTTGATTATTTAATAAAATACATATAGTCATTCCTTAAAACTCCAACCGTTAGTAGGATAAACCCAAACACAACTTCCAATAACCCTAGAATATGGGCACAAGTCTGAGGACAAGAAACTGAATCACCAAAGACATGGAAAATTGATTTCTAACCTGACGCTTTGTATACTCTTGTGCAATCTCTCCAGCAAGATTCCTGACATATTCGTGACCCCATGATCCAATGTCACCCTCTGTTCCAATCAACCTATAACCTAAGCTTTCCTGGAATAATATTGTCGAAGAAAGTGGATATCAGTTCAAAGTATGCCACAAAAATACAAATCAGAAAAATGAACTCAATAGAGTTCTACAATAAAAAAAACCAGAACAGCTGTGTTAAGGCAGAACAGAGAGGGGGTGAGCAGAAAGAAATGAAAAGGAAACCGGAGGCATATAAAGATGGAACAAATAGGTGAAAAATTAAGCTTTATATAAATGCAATATCAGTACTAGAGGCATACCCTTTCACCCTCCGCAGACATGGTAAGGGCCAAGACAGACAAGATGTCGGACAAGTACTTCTGCAAACATAGCAAAAACATTCTTCAAGCCATACCCAAGAATAGGAACAAAGAAGGTGTTAACGAGGCATGATTTGAAATCTATGATGACATACCTTGAGGTCAGAATCAGCCATTGTTTCATGAAATGCTTTAAGAGTTCCATAATGGGGACGGAGAAACTTAAGTGGCTTGGGAACTGAAGTCATGGAGCTAGTTGAAGCCCGGATTTCCTGCCTACGGAACCAAAAAACAAGGAGGTTAACTTAAGGCACAGAGTTATAAAAACACAAACATGTACGTACACTAAGGGCAGAAAGAAAAAAACAAGACTTTATAAGTTCTACTATTCCTAAGGACAATAATCTTAAAAACAGAGCTGACCAAGTCAAATTTCAGTTTAAAAGATTCACTAATTACCTCATGCTTTCAAGAGCAGCCTTCTGCAACTCCGGGTTGGGATCCTGAACTCTCTCAACATAGAGCTCAAGGTTCTGCTTTAGTTCCAAGTCCTCTTCAGACTACAGTCACACACCAAGTAAGTCGAGTCACTAAGTGAGAGACCATATACAATCTACAAAAAATCTCCTCTCATCACAATTTAACAGCTTTCTAATCCCACTTACTCGAATGGCGACATGACATTCACTTCCCTAGGTTAAAAACCCTAATTCTGTAAAATACTAACTCAAATTCGATCGATTTCAATTTGCAAAGTGACTGCAGATCCTACAGATTTGAAATTAAATTCCCTTCTGATGAACCCATATACTAACGATACACAATGTTGAAAAAGAAAAGGCAAATCAAAACGGAGAAGGAACAAACTTACCAAATCCTCCTCCTTTTTCTCATCCTTCTTCTTGGGATCCTTAGAAGGAACCTTCACGGTAGCTTCATCCTGCTTCGCACCGCCTCCGACGCTGTTGGGATCCTGAGTTGGAGCCATCTCTAGTTCCGAATTAGCACCAGATCAATCTGAAGAACCCTTCGAAAGAGCTTGAAATTAGAACACTCTGCCGAATCGAGAAGCTTTCTCTCTAAACACTAAATTTGCAGAGAAGAAGAAGAAAAATAAACTAGCGAGGAATTAAGACAAAACTCTTCTGCAACTCTAAAGTCTGAAGCAAAGCATTACATTAAACGAATGTATAAAAAAATATTGGAATCGGAGGAGATAACCCCTCAATCAAGATTTCTACTAACCGAATCAGGCCCATTAAAAACTTTTATGTTAATTGGGCTAAACTTAGTGGGTTCTTCTCACATAGGTCCGTCCGAATGTCTAAAATTCGAATATTCATATTTTTATGGTGGTGTATTTTCATGTTTGTGTAATGGATTTTTTATTTCGGGCAAAAACGAAAATGTCAGATGATATTATCTGCATTTCGGAAAGTTAAAGTTTTATTTGAAAATCAAGATAAAATTAATGAAATATAGTTCAACCATGCATGTTATTAGCAGGTTCCATGTTGGAAAACGCATTTTTCAAACTTTGTATTGTTCGGAGTTATGGTTTCCAAAATAATACAATTTGAAAACTGCGTTTTCCAATATGGAACATGCTTATACGGTCGGAGAAATCCTTTTTCCTGATTAAAGTTTAGAACCCATGGTTTACTGTGAATTTAGTTATATGAACTTTAATTAGACACAAAAAAACTAGCTAGTATATATTGATCGGTATGGGATGTCCGGTTAAGAAAAATAAATAAGTTTCATTAATTTTCTTCGACCAAAGTCCTTTGCTAAATTTGAACCGATATATTGTAGTATTCATTGTGGTTAAAGTATTGGGGTTTTAAGACCATGCATATTTAGGGCATCATTATTGGGGGTATCTTAGAGGGCTAAGATTATACCCCAATTTTGCAAAGGAAATATCTTATATATTATATAAGATATTTTCTTTGCAAAATTAATGATGGTCTTAGTTCGGTGTGAATGTAATAATATTGCAACTTTGTCTCTTTATTTTTTGCTAAACATGTAAATTTTCATATTGATGAAACAAAATAGGTTTTACAAGGTAATAACCAAAAACTTGGTTCCTTGGCAAAACTTTGTCTCTTTTATGATATACTAGCAGTTGATCCGCGCTCCGCGCGGGAGGTTTATAATTTTGTTTCGTTGATTTTTTATTCATATTGTGATATTTTATTATTATTTTTAATTGATTTTCAAAAATATTATAATTATTTTCTCTTTAATTATTATCTTTCAATACTCAAATTTGGATTAAAAGCAACTGATTCAATTTATGAAATATCATTTTTTTTTCTTTTTAATCATGTTATAAACTAATATTTCACTTTCATTTTATTTTTCTTCTTTATAATTTTATATATACAATTACATAAATGTTGTTTTAGTCTACCATAAATTTAAATTTTACTTCCATTCTAAAACTCAGTAACATATTTAAAATATTAAATTATGATCACTTTAAAATGAAAGTTGAATAATATTATTACCACTAATAAAAAAATTAAAGTATTGTTTTTCTTATTTTAACATTTCAATTTTTTTACATAGTTTATTTTATTTATATAAACTTTATATTAATTAAATAAATAACATAAATATGCACTAAATGAATGTTTTAAATTTATTTTAATGTTTAAACAAAAATGTGGCTTAGGTGGATGCTTAGGTGGCATCATGAGAAGAGAGAAAAAGCTAACTTTATATATATAGATAAATACGTACGTACATATATAAAAAGAGAGATAATTAAGTGTACATGTATGAGTGCAAAATTAATGAGATGCTAGTAATTAATAGTATACGCATGTGTATGTATGTATGAAGACTCAATTATGAAGCGAGAGGGACCATTCAAAATTTTGAAGGAGACGAGAGAGACTGAGAGAGAGAGAGTGGTCACAATTGGGAGAAACGAAGAGGTCATTACGTTGGATTTTACGTTGCCTCCATGCACTCTCCTCTCCCTTCTCCCTCTTATCTCGTGGTCCTCTCTCTCATTGTTCTCTCTATCCCAAATTAATATACGTTTTTTTAATTATGGTAAAAATCTCAAAAACTCGTGACTGATTCATTTCTCCCCTAAACCGTGTGGAGTTTTTAAGTAAACTTACCTTAACGTAAATCACTAGCTAAATCTATATGACTATATATATTTTGGCCTCTTTATTTATAATCGAGGACATTGATCATAAACTTATACTTATAATCAAAATGCATACATACAACGTTTCCATATGCGTTCATGAATATGTCATTTATTTGCGTTAATAGCTAGAGAGAAGAGTGTACGTAGCACCCTATACGGTACATACATATATATGTAATGGTCTCCTTATTAGTCACATGGGACGGACGTTTATAATTTAAGTAAACCGGCCCTAAACTCTCAACACTCAACAAGGGTCAAAAACAAAAACAACCCTTGGAAAAAAGAAAAAGGATACAAGAATTTAAAGACATGTCGTCGAATTTTGTTTGGCGCTTGTCCGTTTCAGTCACAAGACGCGGTTACGTTGGCGGAACCTCAGAGACACCGTGACGGTGAAGCTCTGTCATAACACCGTCCACAACCGGTGGTTTCAATCCCAACGGAAGTGGCAGCCACGGCCTCGTCAATACATCTCCTATGGCTGCATCCACGCTCTCCTTTGACTATTCCATTCATCATATATACACACACAAGAAACAAGTCAAACTCAAAAATCTAGTAATATAATCAAATGAGAAAAGTCAAACTCGACAACAATCAAACCATTATATTAGATGATTCTTACCGGATGCAAGTCCACCGGAGGACGAGCCCCACCGAAGCCATGATTTGGTTTGTACACCGCGTGATGCGGCGGCATAGCGTGTGGGATTCCAGCAACTGGAGGTGCTCTAAATCTCTATACAATTAGCGGTAAAAAACAAGATGTAAACATATATAGGAGAAAAAATGGGTATAACTACGGAAATAATCTTAGATATGTTTGTTCATTACCGTAGTTGTGTTCGGCATATACGAAGCTGTCCCGTTATGAATCTACATGCGACCAAATAGTAATGTTATAATTTAGAAAGACAAGCATATAATAACCGGTTTAATCTCATAGAAAATAAAATTACTATGATGAAAAAATATTAGTTGGTTTTATCAAATGTGGGATCTTACTGGATGCCAGTAGGGTGAATCGGAGACCGGCCAAAACGGTGGATTAGACATGGCGGTAGAAGGTGGAGGTAAGTGTTTGGGCCACATATGAGACATGACGGACTGATCCACCGTGGGATGTCCCCACACATGCAACGGTCTAAACGGATGGTGGTGGACAGGTGGCGCTGGTGCCACAGCCACGGGCGTCGGTGGAAACCCGAGAGTGGGTGCTGGTGCAAGCCATCCATTCTTACTCCGACCATTAACGTTACCTCCGGTGTCTACCCCGTAGATATGCCGTTTGCGAGTCCAATTAGCCGCTTCAGCCTCACGAGCAAGCAAATGTTTCCTATGAGACCTATATTTCTAGTACACCAAAATATATAATAACAAAACACTTATTTTGGTTGTGATTAATGCAAAAAAATATACAAGATAATGCGTAAGTAAAGTAAATTAAGACTTACTTGAAGGTGACTAGCGACGTTGTGACGAGTGAGACAATGGACTCCCATAAGCTCCAGAATTCGAGAAGGAACAGCTTTGTCCACTCCTAACTGTTCCACTGCCTCCACGAATCTCCTGTGTAACTCTGGTGTCCAATCCACCTTCACACACATCCCAACATCATATAAGATATAAAGCCATGCATCTCTTCACTATATATATTATTTCAATACTTTTTTTACATACTCATATTATAATGACAACAAAATTCACAGTTAGCTCCTAACTATTTTTCATTACTTTTCAGAAATTATATGAGTCTTGGACTAGAAATATAAAAAGCTTAATAAGCTTATAGAGATGCACGTGATATGTCTTTCCAAGAGTTTTTTTTTGTAAACATAACTAAAAAATATGGAAATTTTATAAGAATTTGCAAGAAAAATAAATTGAATCTAAACGAAATAATCCACTTTCAAGAAAATAAAAATCTATGTAAGAATTAATATCGGTTCATTTTTATAAAGTCTAACTAGGGTTTGTTGTATTCATGTATTTAAGATTAGTGTTTTTATAATATATGATAATATGTTAAATACTTACCTTCATCTTTCGCTTCCCTTCGTTGTTACTGAGGCGATTCACGTTCTTGGAAGAAGCAGAAGAAGGATACTTCTTTTTCCGGTCGCTAGTGTGAGCGTCATAAGTCACCGTCTCCGCCGCAGCATCATCTCTTTTGCTTATGACTTCTTCACCTTTCCCGGAAACACCCTTGTAATTAGTCTCCCCTTGGCTATCAGTCTTGTCCGACGCGGTAGTAATCGTGGAAGAAGCGTTCATGTGGTCGGAGAAGTCCCCGGCTAAGATCTCGGGGTCAATCTCCAAGTCAGGAAGCACATCTCCGGCGACACCGAATAGATCGTCGAAGTCAATGATGTCGAGGAGATCGCCGTGGTCAGGGAAATCCAAGAACTCATCCTCCTCCATGTTGATCTTGAATCCACACGACGACGTATCAAGAAACTCTGACGCTCCGTCGCAACCATCTCTTGTCGACGGAGACAGAGCTAACATCGATCAATCTTCACTTGTAGATCCAACTAATTAATTTCCAAATATAATCGGAGAGAGGGAGAGGGAGAGAGAGATGTAGATAGGTAGACTTAGAATAGAGAGCTAGACATGTTTTGATATCCAAAGTAAAGTCTCTTTGTTCTCCCCTAAAGCCAAATATAAAAGTTTGAAAGCTTGACGAATATTAAAGACGAGAGTAAATTCATTTTTATGCTAGCTATTTATAGAGAGAGTGAGTGAGAGAGGGAGAGAGCAATTATATATAAGTCCATAACCAAAAATAAAATAAAGAAAATGGTTAATTCTAAATGGTAAAGAAAACATTTTAGGGTCAAACTTAAACAAAGTTTAATTATGTGTCGCGGTCATATTAGCAAGTCACCCTAACGATATTTTTTATATTTAATAAAAAAAGATGATTATGTGTCTATAATTGTAACATATTTAGATAGGATCATAATTAACTCGAAAGAGACACGGCTTCTTGTATATTTCTTATCTGCATTTAATTTTGTAATTTTGAAATAGTGTTTTCAACAAATATTTGTGATACCCTATACTACTAAACAATAAAAAGTACGTTTGAGAAAAAGTATAAAAACGTAAATTTAAACACACGGTGCATGGATATAATTCATATGTATGCTGCATGCAAATTTAAATCTGAAAAGTATACATACAAAGTTTTAAATTATGTTAAAAGAATATCGAGTACTATCAAAATAGGATTGCACATGATGCATTTTTCTTAGTGGAGTTTTAAGTGCTTATTTTGTTGGTACGTAACAAAAACAATTTATTGTGGCCGCAATGGATCAGAACCACAACTTTAAAGTTCGATATCTAATTGTCGCATTTGTCTCTTTTACCGTTTTCGGTATTTTGGTTTTGGTCTGTCTCGACATTATTTGACAAAAATAAATTTGAAATGCGTTAATCACTATTTTATCATTGTATGGTATGTAACATAGAAAAATATTTAGGTTACGTTACAAATTTTGATATGTACGTACAAACATGTCTTTTATTAGTACTATATGTGTAGTTGAGAGATTATGTGCATCTTTTTTGTTTAGTTAGTACACATATCATGTGATCATGATTTTGTAGTTTAATAATTTGTACTAAATGTCTATTGCCTCTTTTGTTTTGTCGACATTTCTCGAGTTTGAAATTGAAACAGCTTGTGTTAGTTGTAGATGATCTTCTGCTGGTCAACTTATAGATCTAACCAGTGGTTCTCATGTTGAATATGGTAAGTGTATATATATAAGATGATCAATCATTTACTTGTATAGTAGCTAGTAGTATCTCTTTGCTGACGAGAATGAGGCTTACAAATGAAGAAGCCTTTGGAAGATGCTCTTATATATATATAAAAAAAGGACAGAGTTGTCTCTTTTTACGTATAAGTGGACATGCACGATCGACCTTATATATATGATGGGTCCTCAAAGAGCTACAATAATTGTTGTTCTTGCACTACAAAAAAAGAGTGATCTTGCAACACCAAAAATTGTTACAATAATTTAAAATACCGTTGCAAATCATCAGGTTGCAACAAAATTGAGACACATTTTGTATTGTTGCTATTTGAGTGTTGCAAACTCACATTTGTTGCATATATGTCACAAAATTTACAATGAATTGACTTCTTGCTATTATGTCGTATTATCGCAACAAAACTATTGTAGTAACTTTGTTGTAAAATTGTGACATATATTTGCAACTTTAAATTGTTACAACTTATTGCGACATAAAACGTATAGCAAATTTCATTGCAAATTTACCATGAAGACATTTATTGTTGTATGTGTTGTATTATTGCAACAATAATTATGCAGCAAAATGGTTGTATAATTGTGACGTTTTGGTGCAACTATAAATTGTCATAAAGAAAAGCTACGTAAAATATAAAAAAATATTGTTGCATATTTTATGACGATGATGGAATAAAAAAATGTTGCAAAAATTTCACTACAATTTATACTCGTCGCATTTTTACGACAAATATATAGGCATAATTTCATTGCATATTTTTAAGATTGCAATTCTTTTTGCAACATTAATTATAGAAACTATATTATGTTTTTTCAGCACATAAATTATTAATTTATAAATATTTATTTAATATATATTCTAATAATAATAATAGAAAATAACTTATTTTATTAAATAATCAAATAATTATTCCAGCAATGCATAAATTTAAAACCAGTAGAAAACCAACGATTCTTAAAAACTAAAATCCATGAAAAAAAACTTAATAAGCATAAATAAAACAACTAAGCAAACACTTAGTTGTTAGCACGAGCTGTGGATAGATGAGGGATCAATATGTGGATCATTTTCTCCAACCCTTCGAGCTTGTTGATCCTCTCTTTGATTTGCTCATTCTCTTCATAAATCTCCTCCAGTTTTTGTTTAAGAGCCTCCTCATTTTCCACATTATTTTCAAAGATAGCTGACACTCCACCCTTAATGGAGAGTTCACTGAAAAGAGCTCTTAGACCAAACACACGACCATTTGTTGCCTCCACAATCTGTAATATATAATAAATTGTTAGTAAGACAATTTAGAATATTTGAAAAACAATAAACTATTTAAAGAATTTATTATGTTACCTGTAAATACATTTCATTCTTTTTTTCATGAGTTACCTCTTCTATTGCTGCGATTTCATTTTCAAGATCAGCTATCTTTTGCTCATATCCCTCGCTAATCTGCTTCGCCCTCTCATCAACAAAAGACCCATCTGGTTTTTTGTGAGTCTCTCGAAGAACATCTATGTATGATGCAGCTCCAGTTTTTTCTTTCTATAAAATATAAACAAAAACATTATAGTAAACTTTTAAAACTATTAAAATTAAACTAGTATCACTTACTAAAAGATTAGCAACTTTGGCATAGGAACGTGAACCCGCTCGATGCTTATGAAAGAAGAAAAATATCTAATCCATGTTCTTACTGCATATAAATTGTAAGGGGAAGAATCGTATATATAGAGAGGCTAATAAATAAAACATCTCTATACCCATTACTATATCTCAAAGTCAAGTAAATAAACGTAACTGATGAGTTTCCAAATATATTTGCTAGCTGAACGATGTGTCGGCTCCTTCCTAATAATCCTATGATAAAGTTTTATTACTTGAAGCTTTAAGTGGTTTTGTTGTTACCATTTATATATGGGACGATTTGATACATTTTTTAATGACTTTGTGAATCTTCTATGGTATACTGATTTGGTTTAACACTAGCAATATACACTTATATGTAACATAGTCTTGTGATTTGGAGTTCTCGTATTCTTTTATTTTGTTTCCCTTGTGGTATTTTAAATTTTTTTGGAACTAGCTAGCTAGCAAAGATCTCATAGTCAGATAGTACGTAGTCTACTGCCCGAAACTCTGGTTGGTAAAGTGTTGGATCCCTTCGCCCAGCCGGAAAGTAAATTATTATGGCATCTATATATATTCTTTCATAGTTTCTTTCTTTCAACTGTATTATAATTAACTAAGATCATGTTTATTGATGGACTCTTAAGTCTAAGATTATGTTAAGAAAAACGATTAACTACATAGCTTAGAATATATAAAGAGTGTGGAAGTATCGGTTTACAAAAAAAAAAAAAAAAAAGTAGAGATGAGGTCAATAAAATATACCGATGAACTCTAGTAATATAAGGAAATTGAATTGTATATAGAGCTTGATTAGGAAATTGAGTATTGAATCTACAAAGAGATAGATTGAGATGAAAATGAAAGTTATTTATATATATGTACAAATTTGTATATGTATATGTTTTGAAAATTCATATAATAGAGAGAAAATTGACAATGAGTGGATGGAAAGGGCCACACCCACATGTGACATGATAGCGACAAGATCAATGGAAATGATATCATGTGTGCTTTGTAATTAATAAAACGAAGTGCAACTTTCATAAAAGGACTGGCCTATATACTACACTGTCATTATTAATTACGATGTCAACACTCTTCATCTTTCTCTGTAAATAGCATATTTCATATGTTTATGTACTTAATAACGTATTCTCCAATTAACATGGAAGTTGTACGTACCAAGTTCGATAATAGCTAGCTAGGGCTTTAGAATGTCCCGAAATTTTCATTTTATATGAAGTGTTACAACAAAATTATGTTATGAATATACAAGAAAGCAATCGATTTCCAATTAGTTCTAAATTTAAATGACCTTTTTAGTGTGTTTTAAGTATGCAAGTTTATGTTATATATAAAATAAGATATGATAACATGAAAGCTCGCAAACACAAAACGTGAAGAAAGAAAGATATTAATCGAAAATTTAAGCGATGAAGAATGATTAGTTGCAAAGTTGTTTGGAGCTAGCTAGGGTTGGAGTCATGTTCATATGCGGTGACAAGAGACAAAGAAGTGCAACCGCGTGAGTAAAACTTAAATTATAATACTTTCTTCGTTGTATAAGTCCATGGAAAAAGTTGTCACTATTATCTATCACAAATAAGTAAGGTAAAATAAATATTTTGATTCAAACGGTGTTAATTTTTTATTTTATTATATTTTTGGTGTTATAAGAAAAAGAAAAAGAAAAATCTGATTGTTGTTGTGGGATGAGCTTGTGGTGAGGAAACTTTTGTCTTTGGTTTACAACTAGTTGGGACCATGCATATGAACTGAAAGCTACAGTTATAATCCATTTGTGTTTTTTGTGTTTCTTTGGCTTAAATAAAAACATCTTCACCATCTCATTTGGTTTTTCTTAAACGGTAATATATAGTGTCCGATATCGAGTTTTCGATCTCGTGGTACATAATATCATATACATTTATTGGTTGATATATTGAAACTCCAACTTGTAAGGAATTAGGCCCTCATCATCCATAACTCAGAAGCCCAAATGATGCTTATACAAATCTGCCCAAATGGTTCCAACGTCGTGGCCTCTAAAATCACAGAACTACAAGTACAACTAGCGGAAACTATTTTTAAAAAAATAAAAAAAATGGAATAAGCATATTCATATTTACGTACAAACAACAACTTAATTAGCTAGCTAGGTGGTAATTTAAGTAGCTAACGTAAATTTTTGAGATGCTTTATTATGTAGATGGAGGTTGAAATGTGAAGCACCAAAGAGAGAAGCCAAATACCGAAAAAGAAAGAAACAAAGAAGGTCGAAGAACAAATCGATGTTCGATGATGGACTATCTGATATGCACAAATTGTTGGAATCAAACCTTGATTAATGCTCAAACTTGAAAGAGAGAATGATCAGAAGCTTGAATAGAGGAGAAGAAGAAAGTCAGAGGAATATTAGAGTGGAGAAGAAGAAGCGACAAGAATGAGGGAGAAGACTTTTGTTAAGATCTTTAGGATTAAGGGCAATTGGGCCATTATGATAATCAAGCCCATTAAGTATTGGGTTTAGTGTTGTTGCAAACTATAGGTTAAAAGTTAACCTAAGTATAAATATGGTGTAAGGTGTATAATGATCAATCTAAGAAAAAAGTTGAAAGTAAAAAGGGGTTACAAGCTGCATCAACGTGAATTTTGAACATGGTATCAGAGCTCGGTCAATTTCGGTGAACACAGACCTACAACAAATTTCATGGAGAAAATGTCAGGGACAATGAATGACGTGAGAAGACAATGTAAACTTTGTAAGAAGAGCAACCACGATGAAGGTGAGTGTTACCTTCTCCAAAGTTATGAATCCCAGTTCTTTAGTAAGCAATTTAGACCAAGGAGAGGCTGTTTTGCTTGTGGAGAACCTGGTCATATTATGAGAGAATGTCAGAAAAGGCAAACACAACAACAATTAGAAGAAGAGACCGGTTTATTTGGTGCAGCACATGTAGTGGAACATACAAACAGTGATGAGATCTGGTTAATAGACAGTGGTGCTACCAATCACATGACCAAAGAAGAGAGATTGTTTACTACAATAAACAAAACAGTTCAAGTTCCCATCAGGATTGGAAATGGAGAAAGAATAATGACTGCTGGGAAGGGAAACATAGAAGTGATAACCAAGAAGGGAGTAAGAGTTATCAAGGATGTATTTCTTGTTCCAGAGATAGATAAAAATCTATTAAGTGTTCCGCAGATGACAAGAAATGGTTATAAGGTTGTGTTTGTAGAAAACAAATGCATAATCCACAATCAAGGAGGGGACAAGATTGCAGAAGTAGAGAGGGTAAGAAATGCTTACTTGCTGCATATGCCGTTAGCTGAAGAGAGTGTAAGGATGGCTAAAGAAGAGAATTTGTCTGAACTATGGCATAAAAGATTCGGACACTCTGGTCTTCACAATTTACACAATCTGCAAACAAGTCAAATGGTCAAAGGCTTACCAAATTTCAAGGTAATTCAGGAGGTTTGTGAAGCGTGTGTTAAAGGGAAACAATGCAGGGAAGAATTCCCTAGAATCTCAGAAACAAAAAGTGAAGAAGTGCTAGATTTGATTCACACAGACATATGTGGGCCTATGCAAACCCCATCTTGTAATGGAAGTGTTTATATACTTACCTTTACAGATGATTTCTCACATATGTTGTGGGTATATTTTCTGAGGTTTAAATCAGACACCTTCGCAACATTCAAGAAATTTAAGAGCCTGGTGGAAACTCAAACTGGCAAAAGAATAAAGAAACTCAGGTCGGATAGAGGAGGTGAATTCAAGTCAGAGCAATTCTCAAGATTCTTAGAAGAAAATGGAATAGAGAGGCAGTTCACTGTGGCTTACTCACCACAACAGAATGGAGTTGCTGAACGTAGAAACAGGACCCTGCTGGACATGGCAAGAAGCATGCTAAAAGACAAAGGAATGCCAGATGATTTTTGGGCTGAAGCTATATTTACAGCAACGTACCTTCAGAATAGACTCCCCACCAGGGCTCTAAGTCAAAAAACACCACTTGAGGTTTGGAGTGGCCACAAACCCTCTGTTGGTCACCTTAAGGTATTCGGTTGTATTTGTCATGTGTGGATCCCAGCAGCTAGAAGGAGAAAACTTGATGATAGGTCAGAAAAAGCTATATTTATGGGATATAGTACTATAAGTAAGGGTTACAGAGTGTATATCCTAAGTACCAAGAGGATAGAAGTGTCAAGAGATGTGGTGTTTGAAGAAAACAAGAGTTGGAATTGGAAAACTCAAGAAGAAGTAAAAGTGAGAACTGAGAACTCCCAAAGTAAGGTCATCCCACCTCTGAAAACAGATTTGCAAACACAAAAGAGAAGTGAAACCAGTCCAGAAGCTAAAACAAATATCAGAGATGAAAGACAAAGTATAAGCCCCGTACCTTTTCAGTTAAGTGGAGGAGAAACTGAACCAGGGAGCTCTTCTCGAGTTATTCACAAAGTTAGAAGACTAGATGATGTGTATCATGAAACAGAAGAACGAGGAGAAGATGCAAATAATGTTGCGGAAGCATGCTATCTTACCTGGGAGGAGCCGTCCACATTTGAAGATGCTATAAGCAGCAAAGAATGGACGATTGCAATGGGTGATGAAATCAACATCATAAACAAGAATGAGACTTGGGAGCTGGTAAGGAAACCTGAAGATAAGAAAGTGATATCTGTTAAATGGATTTATAAGGTGAAAACAAATGAATATGGTCAGATTCAAAAGCTGAAAGCAAGACTGGTAGCTAGGGGATTTACTCAGACATATGGAGAAGATTATGGTGAAACGTTTGCCCCGGTATCCAGACACGACACAATCAGAACTCTAATAGCCTTAGCCTCTCAAAATAAGTGGAACCTGCACCAAATGGATGTTAAATCAGCGTTCTTGAATGGAGAAATCACTGAAGAGGTTTATGTAGAACAACCACCAGGTTTTGAGATAAAAGGTGCAGAGAACATGGTCTACAAGTTAAAAAAGGCTTTGTACGGATTAAAGCAAGCACCAAGAGCTTGGTACAGTAAGATTGACTCTTATTTCATGTCACAAGGATGCAAGAGAAGTGATTGTGATGCAGCAATGTACACAAAAGAATGTGAAGGCGAAATCATGGTGATCAGCTTGTATGTGGATGATCTAATCATCACAGGGAGCAGTGAGGATATGATTAAGAAGTTCAAAGACGACCTAAGTAAAACATTTGAAATGACAGATATGGGGAAGCTAAAGTATTTTCTTGGCTTTGAAATTACCTACACGGAAGGAGGAATATTTCTAAGTCAGAGAAAATATGCTCAACAGTTATTAGAGAAATTTGGAATGAAAAACTGCAAGAGTGTTAGCACTCCACTCATGCCAAATGAGAAGAGACATGATGATGGAGCAGAACTTCCCAATCCTAGACTATACCGAAGTATGGTAGGAGGGTTATTGTACCTTGCTGCAACTAGACCTGATTTAGCTTTTGCTGCATCCTACCTATCCAGGAGTCTATCGCAACCTAAGGAACAAAACCTACAAGATGCAAAGCGAGTGATGAGATACATTCAAGGAACAATTGACTACGGTTTGAATTTTCAGAAAACAGATCAAACAGAGCTAATAGGATTCTCTGACTCTGATTGGGCAGGCTGTAAAGAAGATATGCGCAGCACCACAGGTATGTGTTTTACACTAGGAAGTGGAATGTTCACATGGCAAACCCAGAAACAGGACACAATTGCCCAGTCCACGGCAGAAGCGGAATATATGGCTTTGGCCTCAGCCACAAATCATGCAGTGTGGTTGAAGCGTTTGCTGGGAGAAGTGAAGGTCGATACTAACAAAGGTGTCCCAATCTATTGTGACAATACATCTGCCATAGCAATCGGAAGAAACCCGGTTCAACACAGGAGAACCAAACACATTCAGATACGGTATCACGTTGTACGAGAAGCAGAAAGGGAAGGAGTGATAAACCTGAGGTACTGCTGTGGCGAAGAACAAATCGCTGACATCCTCACGAAGCCCCTCGGAACTAAACGGTTTGAGGAGATGAGATCAAAACTCGGAGTTATGTCAAATCCCACCAAGAAAGTCACTGCAGATATCAACGTTGCTCAAGTTTCTCAGGTTGACACAATTTTGCATGTGGAAAGTTTGAAACAAAAAGGAAGGAGTAAAGGAAAACAGAGAGAAATTGAGATTGAGAACAAAGAAAAGAAAGAAAGGGGTACGAAAAAGGATGGAGACCTCATTGAGAATAAGCCAATGAGGGAGATGGAGATGTTGCCAGTGAGCTATGCAGATGTTGTAAAAGGGACATATCAATCTGGAAAAGAACGCAACGAGAAGCATCAAGGAGAGATGAGATTCCAAAAATCAATTTTGAATTTGGGGATTAATCAAGGGTTTGAGAGGGAGTGTTGGAATCAAACCTTGATTAATGCTCAAACTTGAAAGAGAGAATGATCAGAAGCTTGAATAGAGGAGAAGAAGAAAGTCAGAGGAATATTAGAGTGGAGAAGAAGAAGCGACAAGAATGAGGGAGAAGACTTTTGTTAAGATCTTTAGGATTAAGGGCCATTGGGCCATTATGATAATCAAGCCCATTAAGTATTGGGTTTAGTGTTGTTGCAAACTATAGGTTAAAAGTTAACCTAAGTATAAATATGGTGTAAGGTGTATAATGATCAATCTAAGAAAAAAGTTGAAAGTAAAAAGGGGTTACAAGCTGCATCAACGTGAATTTTGAACACAAATTGTAAGTACAGACAGTTCTGATCATCTCTTTAATTATTCCTAGCTAGATTCGCATAATTACTAGGTTTCATATGCATATATGGGTCGTCGTATTAACCGTGTATCTATGCTTTGTAGAACAAAATTCAATGATTTAGGACATGGAACAAGTTAATGTTATGATCTTTTATGCTTAATTTGTCTTGGTTAGAAGATGAGTTAGATTGTTAAAGGTTTTAAGCCACATTTACTGATGTTTCTCAACTTGTAGGTTAGTTTTTATCGGAACTTCGATTTTTAGCCGGATTTTTCGGGCTATGTAGCGTAACATCATCAATATGTATAGGAGTATAGGACTCGTCAGCTCTCTAGGTATTAGAGCGTTGTCTATGATCGATCTTCAGGTTCTCTTACTCAGAAAGTTAGTATATTTAATTAAATAAGAAAGAGTCTCAAAGACTACTCTCTTGCTCTATATATTCTCTAATAGAAGAAAGATGATCATGGCACCCCCATATATGTGAGGTGTGGTTGTACAACTTCCACTTTGCATCTAATTCCCTTTTTAATTTACTACGGTTCGATCTCTTCTCTTCTCTTTGAATAAATTCGGTCGACGCAATAAAGTCTTAATTAGCTGTTTTAAGTATTAAGGAGCATTCATTTGTTTTAACTCGATTGCTTTAGAACTCCTCTCCACAATAGGATTTAGGGAGCACTCATTTGTTGACTTTGACTCTCTTTGAAATTCATAATAAGGAAGCTTCCGAGTAGATAAAACTCAAAAAAAAAAAAAAAAGACTTCACTTCCCCAAAATACCCTCGTTGACTTCGTAGAAGAGATGACTAAATAAGTAGAAACCGCAAGGGTGTTTTCGTAACTGAGAATAACCCGCCGCGTGGATTCGGCGGTTATAACTTCTAATCATTCTGATTCTCGTGGTCGAAAACAAAAAAAAACTCTAACTTTTGATCTCTCTCTGTCTCTCTCTGTCTTCATCTTCTGTAAAGAAACAACAGAACCAAATTAAACCTTTGTCTGAAAGAAGCAATGGGAGAATGTAGACCTCTGGGTTTCTTACTAGGATTACCGTTTGCTCTTGTCGCCCTCGTTCTCTCCCTCCTCGGTGCTGTCATCTGGATCATTGGGTACGTTACGTCTTCGTTTCCTTTTCTCTTTTTTTTTTTTTGCTTAGATCCTCAATCTTGAATCTATCTATCGCTTATGCATGTTCTTCATCTAGAGATACCAACAAGACAACACCAGATGAGATAGATCTCTACTACATTAGTTTAAGAATTGTTATCAAACAAAATATTAAAAAAATAATGATTTGTAAATTTGTTTAAAAATGCAGGACGATATTGAGTTGTTTGTGCCCATGTTGCTTCTGTTTCGCTGCGCTGGCCAACTTCGCTGTTGATCTCATCAAACTTCCTATCAATGTCCTCCGTTGGTTCACCCACTCCATTCCTTGTTAACTTTAATTACTTGTTTTAATCTTCCTTCTTATTTCTTTCATCTTCTTATTAATTATTTGTTAACATTCCTTCTTGCCATTGATTTATGTGTAATTTTCTCCTTCTTCTTTTTGTTTTTGTTTTTATAATAATTATATTTAGAAAAATAGAATTAGTTACCTGATTAAAGAGCCGGTTATTGTGATCACGAAACAAATTTTCCCAATAATCCAAATTAATTAGGTTTTATTTCATTAAATCCATAAACTAATTATTTAAAAGAGCCCACTATAAGTCCAATACAGCTTAACGGGCCTATAGATACGGTAACGTAAAACAAACAACACACTTTGGGATGAGTACACGTTACGAATTTGATAAGAAAGAAGTGATAGCCTGTGACTGTGGTGGCAGAAAACACGCGTCACCGCCCTGTCACCTAAACAAAAAAAAAACAGTTTTTAATAAAAGACAGATTCTGGAACATTCGACAGAGTTCTCAAACACTCTGAGAAGTAACTACATGAGTCCCGTTTTTAAGACCAAACAATCTCTTTCTATCTTCTTCAATCCAAAACAGAACACTATTATTATAGCAAATCTCAAACAGAGCACGATTCAGAACATAATATATATAATTGATTACTAAGAATCAGGAAAAGTGAAGAAGCGAAAGAGAGAAGAAGAAGAAGGTCCGATGGGAGTGGATTATTACAATGTCCTCCAAGTTGATCGCAGCGCCAGCGAAGATGATCTTAAGAAAGCTTATCGTAAACTCGCCATGAAATGGCATCCCGACAAAAACCCCAACAACAAAAAAGACGCTGAAGCCAAGTTCAAGCAGATCTCCGAAGCTTACGAGGTATGTATTTCAATAATTTAGATTCTTGTCTTAATTCCATGAATCAAGAATTGAAAGGTTATAGCTTGTTTGCTAATTAACTTGATTTTTTATATTAGGTTCTAAGTGATCCTCAGAAGAAAGCTGTATATGATCAATATGGTGAGGAAGGTTTGAAAGGGAATGTTCCACCACCGGGCGCTGGTGGAGCCACTTATTTCTCTACCGGTGATGGTCCTACGTCGTTCAGGTTCAACCCCAGAAGTGCTGATGATATTTTTGCTGAGTTCTTTGGCTTCTCTAGCCCATTTGGTGGTGGTGGTGGAGGGAGAGGTACACGGTTCTCTAGCGGTATGTTTGGTGATGATATGTTTGCTTCTTTCGGCGGTGAAGGAGGAGGCGGTGGTGGCTCCATGCATCACGGTGGACCTAGGAAGGCTGCTCCTATTGAGAACAAGTTGCCTTGTAGTCTTGAAGATCTTTATAAAGGAACCACCAAGAAGATGAGGATCTCTAGAGAGATTGCTGATGTTAGTGGGTAAGTCATGATCAATTCAAACCCAATGGAACCTAGGTTGTACCTAGATAGGCTTTTGCAGTTCATTATCTTCTTTAGTGGTGAGGCTGAATGATTGGTTTGTGTGTTTTGTTTTGCAGCAAGACGATGCAGGTGGAAGAGATTTTGACCATTGATGTGAAACCAGGGTGGAAGAAAGGCACAAAGATCACATTCCCTGAGAAAGGGAATGAACAACCTGGTGTGATTCCTGCAGATTTAGTCTTCATCATCGACGAGAAGCCTCATCCGGTCTTCACTCGAGAGGGTAACGACCTTGTAGTCACACAGAAGATCTCACTTGTTGAGGCCTTGACAGGCTACACAGTGAGCCTGACTACACTTGATGGTCGGAGATTGACAGTCCCAGTCACAAACGTGATCAGTCCGGAGTACGAGGAAGTGGTCCCAAAGGAAGGAATGCCATTGCAGAAAGACCAGACTAAGAAAGGCAACTTGAGGATCAAGTTCAACATCAAGTTCCCTGCAAGGTTAACCTCAGAGCAGAAGACAGGAGTGAAGAAACTCCTTGGCTGAGTTGAGTATAACTTCCACATTCCAAAGAATATAATGTAGAACAGAAGAAAGCAAGAAGATCATAGCTTCCGGATGTTACTGTTGTAGATCTCAAAGATTGTGATTAAAATACTTTTGGGGCCCTTTTTGATCGATTTGTAACATATGTACGATTGAACACTTCATAATAAATTGGTTCCTTTTCCTGTTACCCTAACGCTTTTAAACCATACCAACAAACGCAAGACGTTGTTGTTTCGGATCATATCTTAATCCTGATATGAAGTAAACAACTGCAACACTAAAGAGATCTCAGTCCAAAATTTTTTTACTGTCGTCCCCTGCAACAAAGTCCTGAACAAACATTGTTTACTTCCATCAAAGCTTTCTAACATATCTTATAGTTCCCTCAAATCTCAAAACGTCATCCTAATAACCCGCATCTGCATAAATATCAATTACCGCATAGCAAGATGTTACATTGCGCGGCAACATCAAGTTTCCCTCTTGTTCTGCAAGAGCTCAAGAGTGAACCGTCTTGGAGACAGGTTGAACTGGCATTGTTTTTGTTATTTCAACAGCTCGTTCCGGTTTTATATGTTTACTTCTTCAACCATCTCTTTTTTATTGAATCAAAGTCCTGTTTGTGTCTGTCAATAATTAAAGTTGGTTCAATAATGCAAGTACTGTATATGTACTATTTAATCAGATAACATTATGCTTTTTCTACCCTACTTTACTCTCAGTGTGTAATCATCCCTCGTCCTCATCATTTACGGAGTCACCAACCTTAGAGGTAATTGTTCTCTGCACAAATCACTTGTCTAGTTGCGATTTCTCCCTTCCTCAGCTAACGGTGAGTCTCTGTGACGGATTGTACTAATCTCGTTATTTTTCAGAACGACTTCTGGAACAGTCCACTGAAATCTCCACACTCTGAGAACAAACATGAGTCACCCGAGAAAGGCTGAGTTCTTTGGGGTCCCTAGCCCTTCTGTTCCGAGAAATGAAGATGATATATTTGCTGAATACTTCGGGAGACCTTCTCGTCCAAGAAATGCAGATGATAGAAAGGCTGAGTTCTTTCAGGTCCCTAGTCCTTCTTCTGTTCCGAAGAGTAAGGATGATATTTTTACTGAGTTCTTTGGGTTCCCTAGCCCTTCTTCTGTTCCCAAGCGTAAGGATGATATATTTACTGAGTTCTTTGGGAACTCCATCCCTTCCCCTGGTGGTGATGGCGGCAGAGGTGGCGGCTTTTTGCATCACAGTGGAGCTAGGAAGGCAGATCCTATTGAAACAAAGTTGCCTTGCAGTCTTGAACATCTTTACAAAGGAACCACCAGGAAGATGAAGATCTCCAGGGAGATTACTGATGTGAGCGGGTAAGTCATGATCATTCGAAGTTGTATCAACACGAAGTGGGACTCTTTAGGTTAGTTAGGATGTTTGGTTGATAATACATAGTGAAAGCAGAACCTTGATCATAGTTCATAACCTTGTTGAGTGGCAAAAACCGCATGGAATTACCAGTTTATGTGTGGTTCTTTTGAAAAAACTTGCAGCAAGACGATGCAGGTAGAAGAGGTTTTGACTGTTGATGTGAAACCAGGGTGGAAGAAAGGCACAAGGATCAAATTCCCAGAGAAAGGAAATGCGCAACCTGGTGTTATCCCAGCGGATTTAATCTTCATCATCGATGAGAAGCCTCATCCGGTTTTCACTCGAGAGGGTAACGACCTCTTAGTCACACTGAAGATCTCAGTTCTCGAGGCCTTTACCGGCTACACCGTCAACCTGACTACACTTGATGGTCGGAGACTGACAATCCCAGTCAACTGTGTGATCCATCCCGAGTACGAGGAAGTGGTTCCAATGGAAGGAATGCCGTTGCAGAAAGACAAGACTAAGAAAGGTAACTTGAGGATCAAATTTAACATCAAGTTTCCTACAAGCTTATCCTCAGCTCAGAAGATGGGGTTGAAGAAACTTCTCGGATGAACTGGGTTAAAATTATCCCATTTCAGACAAAACAATGTAGAATACGAGAGGAATAAGAAGATCAAAGCTTCTATATATCTTGTTGGAAATGGCTGAGATTGTGACCTTTATGATCGATTTGTAACATATGTATGATTGGGTACTCTTGCGACCTTTCTGATCTATTTGTAACATATGTGTGATCAAAATACTGTTGTGACCTTTCTGATCTGTATAATACGCCTAATAAGTTTGCTACTTCTTCCAAAATTCAAACGCTTTTAAGCCATATCTATAAATGCAAGAGCATTGTTGTTTTTAATCACATCCTGATCCTGATGTGAAGTAAACAATTGCAGCACTATAGAGATCTCAGTCCAAAAAGGTTTACTGTTATCTCCTGCAACAAATTCCTGAACAATGTTGTTCACTTCTATCAAACTACAACCTGGCGTTTTCTTCATATTTTTGTTCCTTATCATCTTTCTCAATCTCGAAACATCCTCCCATTTTCCCAAATCTGCGTAAATATTGGCAAGCAAAACATAATTCCCCATATCCTCCGGCTCTAGCACCACAAGATGATCCATTGCAACCAGTGCAACATCAAGGTTGCCCTGTGTTTTGCAAGAGCTTAACAATGAACCCCATATTTTTGAGTCGGGTTTCACTGGCATTGTCTTTGTTATTTCAACAGCTCGTTCCAGTTTTCCCGCTCTTGCCAAAACGTCAATCAAACAACCATAGTGTTCGATCTTTGGTTCTATTTGATAATCTTGTCTCATCATATCAAAATACTTCAACCCTTCTTGCCACAAACCAACATGTGAACAAGCTGATAAAAGACCAAGAAAAGTGATCCCGTTAGGCTTCACTTTGGCTCTCTGCATTTCATTGAATATCTCAATTGCTCTGTGAGCATTCCCGTGATGGGCATACCCTGAGATCATTGTACTCCATGATATAACATCTTTCCTTTTCATTTGGTCGAACAATTGGATAGCTTGACTAATCACACCACATTTCGAGTACATTTCAATCAAAGCATTGCAAACACCGGTCTGTTTCAGAAACCTTCTCCTCTCAGCATACATATGGATCCATTTCCCAAGCTCAAGAGATCCAAGATGCGCACACGACGGTAAAACAGAAATGAGACTGATCTCATCAGGCTCAATACCAGCTAACTGCATTTCACGGAAGAAATCCATAGCCTCTACGTAACAACCAATCCCAGAATACCCAGAGATCATTGCAGTCCAAGACACAATCGTTTTATCAGGCATCAAACGAAACAATGCTTTCGCTTTCTTCATCTGCCCAAGCCGTGCATATCCAGAAAGCAAACTATTCCAGGATATAACATCTCTGTCAGACATTTCATCGAACACTCTATCTGCATCAGCAAGATCATCAAACTTCATATACATATCTATCAGCGCATTCTCAGTCACAACATGGAACTTAGGCCCGAATTTGCAGAGATGACCATGAACTTGCTTCCCTAAATAACATGATCCAAGACTCGCACAAGATTTAAACATAAACGGGAACGTGAACCGATCTGGGAGTTCAATGCTCTTCATGAACAGTTGCCTATAGATTCGGATCACCTCGCAGTACAAGGAATGGTGTGTATAAGCGCGAATGATGGAGTTATATAAAAAGACATTAGGATACGATACTTGATTAAAAAGACGAGTAGCATACTCCATATCTCCAATCTTATCACACGAATCCACCATTTTAGTAACCATGAAGCTGCTTTGTGACAATCCATGTATAATGATGGAGGCATGGATCTTCTTCAGTTCATTTCGGCTTCTGAATCGCTGTAGAAGAGATACAAAACAATTCTCCACTTCTCTAATTCCATTAAAGGCCATTAAAGCTACCTTGTGGTGGAATCAATTTGGCTCCAAGCAACAACAAACACGTTAAATTCAGATGTGCGTCTCTCTGGATTCATCATACTTTTACTGTACATAAAGCCCAAAAGCCCAATTTTATTTCCAGGCCCATGATCCAGTTTAAAGCTAAGAACGACTTATCCACTTCCACGCAGGAAAACTCTCTGACTACTCAGTCAGCCGCCCAAGAAGATCATCAAGATCAAGAAAGAAACAATGCAACTCTCACTGCTTCAAATCTCTTCTTCTTCTTCTTCTTCTTCTTCTTCGTCAGTGTTCTACTTCAGATCTGACTACTCTACGATTCATACTCTCTCCAACTCCAGCCCGTCTTGTTTACTTCTTCAAAAGTCAATCTTTCCTGGGTCGACCAAGTTAACCCGCCATCGTTATCGGAAGAAAATCTCAAATGGGTCTACTCGTGCTTCCTTGCTTGAGACCCCTGTCTTATGGGCTGGTCGAATTTGTGTCTTCTACGCTCTTGTGAAAGCTGGTTTTGCTGGATCCAAGTCTAACCCTATCGTTTCTGGTTTGTGTTGTTAATCAATCACTTCTCTATCTCTCTCTCTTTTAGAGGTTCTTTTGAATGATTCGTTTTGAGTTTCTTTGTTTTGTGTATGTAAATAATCTTAGGTTTGGAAAGCGGTGGTGTTGATGTTGACGATGATCTTGGTTTTTCAAAATGGCTTCAGAACATTAAGGGCAACAAACCAGGTTTTGTTTCAACTCATCCTTATTGCTTATGTTACAAAATGACTCATCTCTGTCTATTGGATTTGTGCTCAATCTCACAGATTCTCTTGTGTGGTGTATTTAGAGATTCAGCTATAGTTTCCAGTTTCAACAAGAATGAGATTGCTTAGTATGAGACAAATCTTTTTATATATGTTCAGAAAAGGATGCAGCTGATAAGAGGAAGCTAGTGAGCAAATGGCACCCGACAACAAAGGGAACACTTAGAAGAAACTACAGGGTACCTTCCAAAGGGGAAGGCAACCGTCTGCTTAAAGCCATTGCGTCTCTTCTCTCTGATGATGATCATTTTAGAGATGCAACATCTCACAAGGTAACAAAAACACACATCTCATCTGTTATTCTATGTTCGGGTAAAAACAAAAGTGTACCTAACGGAGATACTATTGCAGGGTTGTCAAATACGACGGGAGAGTGCTCACGGTCAAAGCGTATGTTGCAACAACGTAAGAGCTCTGTTTGATGAGTTACCTACGCCTCATTTGGTGGTGGAGATCACACCTTTTCCTGCCGGACCCCTTACAGAGAACGATTACCTCAAGGCCGAGAAGCTGGAAAGGATTCTTAGGTCAGGCCCCAACATTTGAACCCTCTCGCACTCACAGTCACAGATACTGTTCTACTTCAAAATCTAGAATCTGTACATACTCTACCATGTCTTATTTTGCAGACGTTCAAATGTTTGTTTAGACTCTATCAAAGTTTTAGTTTCTTGTGAAAAAATAAAATCGTTAATGGTCTGTTATGGTATGAAAGTGTATCAAACTGATTTGGCAAAAAGGGACAGTTCATACTACTAAAGTTCAAAGGTCCCTAAAGCAATAATGTGGCTCCTGCAACTCTGATTCGGGAGGTTGCTCAGACCACTCTCCCGGGGAAGAAACTGTAAGAGGTAGAAAACCTTTTAAGTTCACAAACGTTTTGGCTAATCTTCCTCACTTTCAGGATTTGGTTCTACTTTTCCACTTGTTCTCTGTTTCGATTCTCAAAGGATTGAAACCAGTTCTGTACAGTGTACATTGTTCACTATCTTTTTCACAAAATTAGTTATTCAGTTTTGTGCACATTATTATTTCAAATTTAAAAAAACTTGTAATACTAATAAGTTTTTTTTGTGTGTCTTAAACTCTCTGAAAAGAAAGATTACAAACATGAAATTCACAAGAAAGAATCCATACTGTTCTTGAATTCACAGCTTTTGGATGAAGAATCCGCAAATAGGAAAGACGATTAGGGAAAAAAGAGCTCTGGCGTGGTTTAATCAATATCCTCTTCTACTTCTTCGCCTTCACATCAAGGTCCATAGCCTGTAGGTTAAGCAAAAGATCGTCGGAGCTCAAGTAGACCTTATTCGCTGACTTTGAGATGGTCTGTGCAATCTCTCTGGCCGCTTCAATTTTCCTCAGTGTCAAGAACGCTTGGTTATTTGCGATTGCTTGACCTATGAGCTGAGCACTCTTGGCTTCTCCCTACACACACCCCCACAGAAACATTACTTAGCAAGATTTAACACAATATCGGGTTTTTATGTTATGAGTTCGAAAAGAGAAAAAACATTTTCCGTACCTCGGCGCGGATAACGGCACTTCTTTTGTCCTGTTCAGCCTTTTCCACAATGAACTTAGCCCGCTCGGCGTCTTGAGCTGCCACCTGCTTTCCTTCTATGGCTGCAGTGAACTCCTTTCCAAATGTCAAGCCTGTGATGGACACATCATCCAGCGCAATGTAGAAGTTTGCCGCTCGTGCAGTTAGGATTTTCCTGATTTCTCTACTCACCGACTTACAAAATCACCCAAAAAAAGAAGCATCGATTAAAAGGGAAATTAAGTTATTAAAGAAGGAATCCAATGATATGGATTTACAGCCAGTTAGCTAACCTCTCTCTGAGTAATAAGCTGGCTTGCATTGTACTGAGCAACCACAGCTTTCAAGGTCTCGTGGATGATAGAAGGCAAAACCCTCTCACGGTAATTCTCACCAAGGCTTCGGTATACCTCTGGTAGTTGGTCAGCCATGGGACGTGTAAGAACCCGAAGTCCAATTTTAACCTAAATGTTTAAAATCCCACACAACATGTAGTTTATAGATCAAAACCACATGACCAGATAAAACACATCATTAGTATTATAAGGATGGAATAAAGCTGAGTACCATCTGGAGATCACGGCTCCCGGATGTACTCTCAACAAGATAAGGCTTTGCACGAACATCATAGATGATTGGCCTCTCGATCCATGGAATCATAAGGTGGGTACCCTCAGGGTAGACCTGGATAATCAAAAAAATACTATTAATAGTGCATCAAGATGACTTTTTGTAAATCAAAACTAGACTAACAAATTAACTTAAGATTCACTATGAATGCTAAGCTTAACCTAACTTCAGCTAGATGTCGCAAACCTAAGGCGGATAGTTCAATTTACTGACTGAAAAAAAAAAACCAAGTTATGCAGGGAGACTAACCTTGTCTTTGATACCAACTAATCGGTTAAAGACAACAGCTCGATGACCACCATCGACATTGTAGAGAGAGTGTGTAGCGCCGTAAAGACCGAGGCCACCAATAACCACCGCAGCTATAACACCACCACCAGGACCCTTGGGAGCTTTGATATTCTTGAAATTCATCGTTTTTTTCCACCGACACCTGCAAATTCGAAACACACAAAATCAAAATTCCAAGGCAGAGACTGGTCACGGTGATTTCAAATTCATTGATTGACCCAAATAAAACTTTGGATCGACGATAAAAGAAAACAATGATGATCTGCAAATTAGCTGAAAACGACACACAAAAAAAACCTTAAGATCACGAATGGGAGCCAACGAATCTGAAATCTTACTTGATTAAACTCTGAATCCGATCTATAAGGGGAAGTACCTAAAAATTCTGCAAATGGCGTGGAGAAGAGAGAAGCAGAGAGGGGTTAGGGTTTAATGCTCAGCGATCAGGATTTTTGTTGTTGACTCTTCGGTCGATCACGCTATTTGGTGTTACTAGAGATCTTTGGGCCCAAGTTTATTTATTTCAAGCCCATTAGTCAATTAACCTTTTCTACTTTGAAGCCTTTTTACTTAGATAGTCAAAAATCAACACATGTTTATTTCAAAAGAATAGAAAAGAAGATTACAAACAGATAAATCAAATCAAATCAAATCAAATAACAAAACAACGCAAAGCCAAGAATAACTCCTAGACTTGTCATCTTCGCGCTTGATCCTGAAGATTTGTGCTCATCATCATCAACAGCTGGAGAGTCGGCATCAGAGGTCGACGAAGGAGTGGATTTCGGGGAAGGAGCTCCCGTGGGAGTGGTCTTTGTTCCGAACAATTCTTCCGGCAACAACACTTTGTCCACCACGTAAACTGCTAGTGGAAACTGTTGTCTTAATGCATTATTGATCCGAGTCTCAACAACACCGGTCGAAACATTCACTTGGTTGTTTTGTGCTTGTCCTGTGAAATTCAAACCATATACACCTCCTTCGTGTCCCGTAGCCTGAGTTCTAATGGGGTTACTTGCTAAGAGAAGATCACTTAGAGAGTAGTATTTTGGAATGATGTGGTAGAGCATGAGCTGGATTTGTTGTTGGTACGTGAGACCGTTTAGGGTTCCGGGTTTAAGGTTGTTGAATGCGTTATCTGTTGGGGCGAATATAGTCATCCCTTGATCTGAGCTATTAAGTTGAACACTAACTTGAAATCCGACTTGAGTTGTGTTGAGGAGTCGTATGAATGTTGTAAACTGGTGACCAGATTCAAGAATCGCTGTGAGATTGATCATGGGACTTGACTCAGTGGTTGGAGCTGGAGCGATAGGTTGGCTTTGAATGTTTGGGACGATGGAAATGAAGAAGAAGAGGACAACATAGGAGTAGATAGATGAGGACATGGCTAAATACTTCTTTTGTTTTCTTGTTTTTTTTTTTTTTTTTTTTTTTTTCTCTATTTGTGTTTGAGTGCGTGTGTTAGAGTTAAGTCTTGAGGTATATATAGAAAAAGTTTGCAAGGATTTAAACTTTAAGTTTATAAAGGAAGTTGATCCATTGTTTGTTTTATAACAACAACTTGATCAACAAATTTTATGATAATGTTTATTATTAAGAAATGCAAAACACTAATAACGTTGACAAAGATAGTATTTATATATGTATACAAACTATACAAAGCTCATTGTTCATGAATAATGTAACGTTTCTAATAATTGTAAAACTGAGTGGCTATGTGTATGCATGAATCCGTCGAATATAGTGCATTGACGGGCAACGTGATGGTCATATCCGAAACTGCTCTACATGTCATGACAAAAATGGTAATTTTCGAATACTAGAATGGACTTGGACTCAAAAATAAAATCAGAACAACTTGGGCTAAAACTACAAAACACCCCAATGGAAAAGGCCCATTAAGATTATGAAATTGAACCAAAAAGAATTGGATATATCATAATCGAATGGATTAAGTAAACTACATTGTTTAAAATGTGATTATCTTGTTACAAAATGTGATTAAAAATCGATCGGATCTTGTTGTGCGCGGCACATGGTGCGGAGGAGCAGTGCATAGTCACGTGAGGAACTGACGACGACATACATGCAAAAGTTGCAAAGACACATAGTAAATGTATTCAGTCAGACAAACTCATGTGCGTTTCTTTAAATGACGTTTCTACCCCCGTGATAAGTTATGTATTCACTTTCTCTATTCCTCACAAAATTTGAATTCTAAGGGTAAAAGCATCAAAGTGTATCTCTGTTTCCGAGGTAGCAATAGACAAATTGAGGAAGAGGAAGAGGAGACCGATAAGTGAAGCAAACTCAGATTCTTTGATAGCGATTTAACGAAGTCCCAAGACGAAGGGCTAAAATTAATGGAGGAGTCTCACTTTTCTCTGAGTCGACTCGCCCTGGTCACTTTCTTGGTCCTCTGTTTCTTAACCGGAGATTCATCGGCGACGAGGCCTGGTTTCCTCTACACCAGACACAGAGGAAGATGCACGCCGCAGTAAAACCAACTTTTTTTTCTTTTTCTTTTATGAATTACATTAGCTGAGTCAGATCTAACTCGCTGGTGGTGGTGTTTGGTTTCAGGTATTGGAGCAGCGAGAGGGAAGCATGGCCGAGGATGGTACCGGAGAGATCAACGGTTGAGAAAATATTCGGAGTGATGGTTGCGAAAGAACGGTGGAGATCTGATCTGACTCTGTTGGAATCAACGGCTAGGAACGACGAAGAAGGTAATGCCTACGGTGCTCTGCTGAAACAGGGGATCGCAGCTCTTGTCAACTCTTACGCGAGAAAAAGTTTCTCTTATGCTCCATGGGAAGTGAAGACGATGCTCATCCAAGCCATGATTTCGGAGCCGGCGGCTCGCCGGCAAGCGGAACACTTCGCCGCCGCTAACGTCGATTGTGACTTATAGACAATGAAGATCTAGTAGTTACTCTTGTCGTCTGTAGGTTTGAATTTAAGCTTCTTGTCGTGTACCTAAGTTTGATTCTGATCTGAACTGAACTGACCAGGCAAAAAAAGAAAAAAACATATATAGCTTCTGTCTCTCTCTCTCTCTTTCAATGTAATGATTGATTGATGATGGTTCAACTTAGGTTTGCAGTTTAACCGGATTGAACCAACCAAACTGAATCAAATCAATTTGAATTGAAGCTTCTTTAAACTTAATGGGTCTGAATAGTTCAGTTTGCTACTAATTGATGGGCTAAGCCCAATGGACCAAATAAACAGAGACGAGCGCTGTGTAGTTAAATTATTAACCAGACACGGAATACCCCTATCCGTGTTTCCGAACAAGTTTCCTCTGTTTCTCACTAGGGCTTAAGACATAAACTAATTAACAGAATTAACAGTCTTTTGGTTTGTTTCTCAAGTAAATTTTTTTAAAAAACTTTCCTTTTCTCTTGCAAACAATATAAGCAGAGAGATATGGTCTCGATCTCAGTCAATCTCTGTGACTGTGATTCTTTCTCGAGAGCCGCTTGGGGTAGGGTTTGTTTCCAATGGCGACTAGAAAGCTTATTCGAGATTTACTGATCACAAAGCAGCCTTTTTTACGGCAATTGTTGCACCAACGACTTGTGGTGAGATATCTTCTTTTTGTAATGTTTGTGATCACGGCGGAATAACTGGTTTGTGTTTTTGATTATAGAGAGCAAACGTAAGATCAGAGTTTCTTCCGGCTATTGGGTATGCGAGTCATCGCCAGTTCAGCATTTTAAGCGACTTCTCCAAGAATATTGAAGCTGATAGGTAATGTGAATAACTAAATATTTGACTTGAGGCATAAGTAATCTAGAATCAGTGAAAATAAGATATTATGTCTTTTAGTGGATGATGATTTTAGTGCAATTTTATTGTTTAACATTGTTGATGTTGTTGTTGCAGCAATTCTGAATTTGAAAGAAGAGTAAAGGAGCTGAAGGAAAGAGCTGAAGAGTTGAAAGGTGTAAAAGAGGACCTGAAAGTTAGGTAATTTATAAAAACATTTGTAATTTCTCTTTACTTGGGAGATAATATATACTTTGTGTGTTAAAGGAAAGCTTATGAATGAAATGGGTATTGCAGAACGAAACAAACGACTGAGCAGCTGTACAATCAAGTTGATGGTGTGTGGAATGAGGCTGAAGCTGCGGCCCAAAAGGTATGCTTTTCTAGTACACGAGCCTTGATTTGGCACCAAGTTTTGTACATTGTAAAAGGCTAACAATCGTGCCTTCCAAAACAGCTTTGACAGTGCAGGTCTCTTCTAATGTGATAGACAAGCTTTCAGCGGCAACAGAAGAGGTCTTGCTGGAATCACACACTCTTCTCTTGTCTCCCTTTCAATGGTCGATATGTTGTGGCATTTTGTTGTTGTTGACTAGGTTGTGTATCTTTATGGTGTCAGGTCAAGGAGTCATTCAAGCTCGGAAAAGAAGAGAATGCAGAGTCAGTAAGTTCATCAGGCACAGGAACCTCTGAAGCAGAACAACAGCAGCTGCAGCAATCAGGTTCTACAGAGGAACTACCTACATTTTTTGAGAAATTAAAGTCAAGTATTTCTTCTCCAAAGGTATCCGAGGCATTTTACAAGCTCAAGGAAGCCAAAGCACTTGACTTTGTAAAGAAGGGACTTGACATTGTGAAGAATGAATTGTGTGGAAACCCATCTAGAAGGAAGTTCCTGCAATGTACACCCCCCCCGCCTTTCACAGGTGAGAGAAGTACAAGAACAGAGATGGTGGCTACGGCACTAAAACAGTCTAAGTGGGAATCCTTTAAAGAAAAGGTGAGTGGCCAGTCTTCTTTATGTTGTCCATTTGGATACCTCGGATCCTGCTTGTACGAAACGGAAGATATTGTTGAATGTTTTCTTTAAAATTTGCTTTAGATGCAAAGTTATCCAATATATAAATGTATAAGCAGGATGAGTGAGCCTGTTGTGAACAAGAGCCAAGAGGTAATGACATATCATTACTCATTTTTTTCACATCTTGCATCACTCTCTTTGCTGATAATGCTTTGTTATATTGTACATTTTAACTGTGCAGATTGCAGAAGATGTGATGGAAATATGGGAAACTAGTGATAATCCGATTGTTCACAAGATTCAAGAGTATACTCTTCTTGCTCCCTTACTATCTTCCGTAACGTTTAACTTACTCTTTTGCTTTCCTTACATGTGCATTCTTTTGTTTTGGCAGCATGAATGAGATATTCTTGGAGGAAACAGATTCTGCATCAGCTTACGAAGAGATTTACGGGAGAGATCCGTAAGCTATATAGTGCCTGATTATGGTTGGTTTGATGATGTTGTGCCCCCTGGTAATAATATTCTTCTTTATCTCTTTCATGGGTAGATCCTTCTCCTTGCAAGATTTTGCTGCAGAAGTTGAGGAAGCCATCAGACTAGTCTTGGATGCATACAGTAAGGTGGTTTTTCAAAATAGATCATGCTCTTCCCATCCTGGTTTATTTATGTTGCTTGTAGTTTAATTTCAATCTGTGTACAGGGAGATGTTGAGACCTTGAAGAAGTATTGCAGCAAGGAAGTGATTGAACGGTGCCCGGGAGAGCTCACATATTACCAAAGTCATGGTATCTTTTTCGACAACAAGGTAAGGTTTTAGTTCTTGGTTCACCACACTAGTCATTTGTTCTCATGAAGTTATGTAAATCCCTGAGTAAGTCGTTGCTTCTGTTTTGATCAGCTACTGCATGTATCTGAAGTTAGTATTCAAGAGTCAAAGATGATGGGAACTTCCCCAGTAATACTCGTCTGGGTAATGATGATGATCTTCGTTTTCTTATGAGGTCATCCTTCAGGTAAGAACTGAATCTGATGTGGGTTAATTTTATTGTCTTTGATGTCAGTTCCAAACGCAAGAAATCTACTGCGTTCGAGACAAGAATGGAGAAATCCAAGATGGAGGCCAGGTAAGAAAGAAACTGTGAATCAAGAAATCATATATCCAACCACAAAACATATGAGGAATGCCACAGTCATTGTAAGAATTTGTTTGTTGTTGTTGTTGGATTTAGGACACGATACACACGGTGTACCACGAATGGGCAATGCAACAAGTGGAGGCAGCAGAGTTAGACGAAGATGCTCTTTATCCCATTTGGAGGCTCAGAGAGATGCTGAGAGATGATGTTCAAGCTCTCATTTAACTCTACATATTTACTCAAAACACTTGTTCACTCTCTCAGCAGAAGATCTTTAATAAAATAATCCAACTTCTTATTATTTCGAAGACCATAATTGTAGATCTTCAGAATCCGGAGTTTGCTAAACAACAAAATCTTAAAAAACAAAATATGATTATTCTACTGAAGATTAGGTTAAGGAAGCAGCGTAGAGATTAAGCAAATAAGTGGAATATTTTGTTGGCTGCTTTTGTCTTGTCTTGCGTACGAACTACGCTGAAGACAAACACTTCTATATAATCCTCTGCTTATCCCCCTTAGCTTTTATCCACTAGAGTTTTCAGCTCATCTCTCATCTCTCTTCACTCTCAACCATCTTTTAAGTCATGTCTTGCCTGAGAATTAGGCTTCTCCCTGCCAAAAGAGCTTGGAAGAGCTTCACAGCCAAGCTTCGGAGATCCAAAACCAAGCACAGTGCTGCAACTTCGAACAAACATTTCTTCAGTTCGAGCCACGGACCTAGAAAGAATCTTCAAGACAGAGATTCCCGTGTTTTTTTCATCCGTCTAAAGAGAGGTTGTTTCTTCAAGAAGAAACGCAAAGCTGTTGTATACGTTGATAAGCTCTTCAGTGAACCTATGGCTGTATCCAATTAGATTCCAGCAAAGCAGTGGAAGCCAAAGGAAGAATTGTTTCCCGAGAAGGGAATAGACGAAAGAGCTGAAGAGTTCATCACTAGAGTGAAAGCAGAGATCCTCGCTTCACGCAACTTGTAGCACCCATCATCAACACAATGTACCAAACTTGATAAGTAGTATTCTTCTGTTCTGTGTATAAATAGAACAACTCCAACTATTCTGTACAAAATTATTTGCCTTTAGCTATTAGCTCGAGTATGTAATTATTCTTGTAAATCCTATATACTCCTTGACAAACATATCCACGTAGTCACAAGCTGGACTAATAAATAGTGGATGTGTATACTTTGTGAAAAAGGTCACCTGACTACGAGATTGCCCGTTTAATGAGAAACCTGCACCGGTATTTTTAATCCCTTGAAATCCGGACTATAAGACCGGAAGTTGTCTGAACAGTTTTCAGGTGACCGGAGCCAATGAGGTCACGTATGTGAAATCTCACATCCAGAGGAGAAAACCGGAGCCGTTTCTTCTCAAGCTCAGCCAAGAACATCTCTTTATGTCGCTTGCGCTTTATCAATGAGAGGAGTTCGTTCCTTCCCTAATTTTTAGATTGCGAGTAAGAAAAAGTTCTGAGGCAATCACTTAGGGGAAGAAATTTATAAAAAAAAGATACTCTCTGAGGTACCTGTAATAGACCCTTCCACAGTTTACCAATACTCGGAATTGTAAACCAGTACATGTCTGGATCGATAAGTTGGCGTGCCTGAGATAAATTAGTATATGTAGTTAAAAGAGGGAAATAAAAGCATGGAAGAGCAGATAACTGGGAGTATAAGTCTTTACTTACGAGAAGGCCTGCGTTAATTAAGAGACTGATGTGCGCATCCTTCACCTTTCCGCCCAATGACAACAACGAACACTGCAGTAAATTATTGATAGCTTGTAAAAAGTGAATACTTTTGGCAACCATGTAGACAGAAACAGAGTAGTAAAGAGTAAAATGATTAAAAAGACTTACTAGCTCATGATGTCCAATACTGGGTTCAAGTTTTGAATCAAGAACATGTCCTTTGAACCACTTGAAAATTTCAAGATCACTTTGCTTCTTCTCTTCCATCCTCTTCACTATTCGATCTACCTAACAAACGGATTACAAGAAAATGATAAAAGGATCACCGCGTTTAAAATGTTGTCAACAGATTTTGATTAGCTAGAAATTGGAAAGACCAACCTATCTCTACAATATTAATCGAGAATACCAATAGTAAGAAATCAAAACTATTCATAAGACCGTTTCACTTAACTAAAGCTAATGTAAACTACAAACGAACAACACCACAAACCTCTAAATATGCAGCAAAATACCAACCTGGTGAAGATAGTCATCCAAAAAGATTATGGCATGATCATCTTGTCCAGTGTTGAGTTTGAAAACACGAACTACTTTCTCCCTTCGTAAACACTGCACCAAGTCCAAAGTGATCAATCCAAAGAAGTCTAGTAAGTCCAATAGAGATTGGAAATATAGCAATAGAAATAGCACCAAACTAGTTCACCCAATTAAACCACAAAGATGAGAAACTAGGATATAAGGATACAACAATACAATATATCAGGAAACACCTTACATATACAAAACAGAAGCTATAATTTCATTTGATAAATGCGTATTTCGTTGTTTCTCTAAAGGTTACATCTTTCAAACCAAAACAACAGCTACATAAAGGAAGTGCAGGAACAGACTTACCTCTAATTCTCTATCGACTTGGGTTCTATCATTGACGCTACTGTATAATTGCGACTGTAAAATAAAGGGTGGAACCGAAGCCTGAAGAAACAGATGTAGCAGAGACAGAAAACATCAACGTACAAATAAGTTGACAAAATACAAGAAAAAAGGGAGATACTTTTAACTAATCTTCACATGTATGTTCCAGAGTAAATGCGATTTTTTAATAACAATTTAGAATAGAATCAAACCAACCTGGTCAATACGAGGAAACTGAGCTCGCATCATTCGTAGTGCAACAGAGGTATCGCTAAAGGTGAGTTCATCCTCTGATCACAACCAATCAGGAATTAGAAGAGAGCTATCTTATCTCTCCGAATTACAAAAAAGAACCAAAAAGATTCAAAACTCACCGAGAGGAAGACATTGATCTTCAGATACTGCTCCATCTTCAATTGCAGAGTTGCTACAACCCACTTCTTCATCCTCATCCTCTTTCTCTCGCCGGTGTTTCTTTGCTCCGGAGGCGGACGTTTCCGGATTTGTTCTTTTCTTCATTGCTTGATTTTTTCTTGCAGAACCAACAAAAAAAAAGTAAAAAACACACAATCTTCATGGGCCTTACTTAAAACAATGGGCCACAACTTTGAATTTTTGTAAGCACAAATGGGCCACAACTTATTCCGTAGAGTGTAAATTTCTATGTATTTTTGTGTTGCTGCTCTCTGGTCACACCTTTGAGCTTTGATGGTGGTGGTTCTCTGTTTTTGGTTCTTCACTTTAGCCATTAATAAATTTTTAGTTAACCAGTCATATGTATCTATCTACTCTTTAAGATTCCTTTATCAGTTTTAGTAAAACTCGGGCACTATTAAATTTATCCATATGTAAATCAAGGTGTTAACGAGGATGATAAGCAAATTGCTCTCTTAACTCACTCACTATTTGAATGACATTACAAAGAAGGTTCAAGTCAACATTTCATTAAGACATAGCAAAATTAAACAGGAACATAAAAACCAACACAAGCAAAGTGGTTTGCTTCTTCATCAGTCAGTACTTGACAGGTGCGTTCTGTGTCGGCAAGAGACCAAATCGCTTCTTCAACAATACTCTCTGCTTTGAGTATTTATCGTCAGGGGAGAACCGGGCTGCAAATTCCACACAAGTTTTACTGGTTTTACTTGTTTATGAATCAGAGTATCAGACTATATTCCAAAAACACAAAATGGTCTCTAAGGCTCACCTGGATGGGCAGATTCAGTAGCTAGCCCAAGCGGTGATTCCTTCTGCAAAATGAGTTTAACTAATATATAAGCACAAAGTAACATCACAGTTTTTAGATTGTCCGTAACAAAAACCAAAGTATCAACAAGCATGTGTATTTTTTGAACTTCTACAAGAGATAAAAAAAAAACAAGGGACAATAATAAGCAATCAAAACCAAGCTCCAATGTATATTAAAATGATTCTATATACTAAGGTTAATAATAAACAAGCAAAAACCAACTCTATGTGTCCGTAAGAACTTCTATCTTCCTAGGTTAAGAAGAACCAAACATCAAATCTTAATATTAAGAAGAGAAAACAAAAGCTTTATGTGTATCTAAATTTTGATAACTCCTAACAAAGAAAGTGAATTGCTTTCGAATCCTAGAACACAACAGAACACAAGGTCATAAACAAGAACTAAGCAAGTATACAAAAGAGAAGTAAAGGTACCTTGGTGGTGTAAACCTTCTCACCCTTCTCGTTGATATAGCACTGAAGATACATCGTCGTTTAAATCCCTGTGGATATGATTAAAGTTAAAGAGCTGACGGAAACGAACAAAAAAACAAAAGTAACAAAGGAAAGATTCCTCCTATAAACAAACATGGTACCTCAGAGATGTTTCTTGGTTCTGATTTTTTTTTAGCAGACGAGAGAAGCTGATTAGGGTTTTGCTGGAGCAGAAGCAGAGGTTTTACGGCGATACTCGTCAATGTGTGTGTTAGTATATAAAGTTTCTCGAAGAAATAAACAAAATGGGCTTTGGATAAAAACTTACAAGCCCATTATGAGCCTGCTTCTAACAAGAGTCCATTAAGTTTACACGTGTGAGGATATCGCCGCGACGAGTCTCTCTCGATTCGCCGGCGAAAAAACGAAGACAAGGATGAAGAAGACTACAGAGACTCCGGCGAGATTGAACGCAGCTGTTAAATCTCAGAAACCTCCTTTCAGACCTGCCGTAGATGACACCAAACCTGTTCTTCAGGACCCTGTAAGGATCTCTTTAGCTTAACGATGCTATTTGAGCTAAAGGTCACTGCTTTCGAATTCAATTTTCGATTCGATCATTGAAGAATATGAATATGTAGATGGAAAGAACTTAAAGGGTCATTAGGAATACGAGTTGATTCATGAATCATGTCTTCATATAACTAGAGAGCTTCAGATTAAAAACCAATGACAAGTGAGAACACACTTTACTTACAAGTGCATCACAGAGACATTGATTTTTTTATGTTCCATAACGAAATGCTGAGGCTTTTCTTGTGCTGGTTGGTTATACTGTTTTGTTTCAGCTGTAGATATAAACATCTACTTCTACCATTAATCTTAGAATAGACTGATTCTGGACTCCAATGGTTCTTGAAGTTTATTTTTGTCAATACATGTTGTTGTTATCTTGAATGGTTTTGTAGATGCTTATGCAGTTTGTCATATCATTTCTCTTTTTCTTAGATTCTGAGATCGGATCCTATGGAGACTGAAGAAGCTGTGCTGAGATTACCTCCTTTCCCAGTGATTACACCATCTGGATCGTAGCCGCCCGGATTAACAAGATTTTTTTATCTGATTTGTTTCACATTTTGGGGGTGGTGGTTAGTGATTGTGAATGGATGTTGTGTGTGCTTGATAAGCTGTAACTTACTATCCCATAATTGATAAATGGAGACAGCTTTAAGATCAGATCAGTGATTCAGTATTAGAGCATACATATATATATATATATATATATATATATATATCTGTGTCAGCACCCAAGAGTAAATTTAAATTAAACAAAGTATCTACCATCGCAAGGATTCATTTCTATCCAGATGAATCAAAGGGTTGAGCCGTTGAGGGATCACCTAAGTTATATATAGAAAGTCACAATTCAAAATAACTACTACATCCACATTTGGTAAAGGTCTTGCATTTTTTCCATCACAAGCGATGATAAATCAAATAAGAGAAAGTGGAGAGGAAAGCAAAAGTAGCTTTGCTTGCTTTATCCCGTGAAGTAAAGAGTCCTCAAACTCTCCCCTTTACTCCTTTTGGGTACTCCTACTTGGCCGTGTGTATCTTTCCACGCAAGGTAAGCCTTTTCAACTCATCATTCAAGTAAACATATGCGGTTGAAGGACACGAGCAGTCTGCTATGCAACACTTTCATATCCACAACATGATTCTGCTAATAAATTTCTACTTGCCTCTGTTGGGAGGTATTGTATGGCTTGAGTTTTGAGTGTAAGAACATGTGCTTTATATTCTTCATCCAACTTCGGCCAGATACCATTCTTCAAGTCAGAACAGTGCCCTGAGACTGGTTATCGACAAAATTTGGATTTCAAACTTTCTTCCAACGAACCAAAAACTACTGAGAACAATCCTGCAGATGCATTTTAAATGGACAATTCAGTTTTCTTCAAGTTGGTAACTTACAGCAAAGTTTTTGTACTTAACAATTTTGGTGAGATCAGTGGAATAGAACCAAAGCTTTCCAGATTCAAGAATAAAGAAGCAAAATTTGGGGTAACCGAGTAAAATGACTAACCTGATAGGGGGATATCTTTCTGCTGTAATGATCCTTTTATAAGCAACGTTCCTGGCATCTGTTGGAACACCTGTTACAGAAATTTCTCCATCATACGCCAATTTAAAATGGTGCATGCAATCGTTAGGGATATCTTAAATCAAATCCAAACAAACCAAGATGCGGAAAGATAGGTTATCTTCAGGGACTTGCAAACTGGAGCCAACCAGTGACTGTTTTTCACATCTGTGGCTTCTCGCACTATCCACATCTGTAGTAACATTCTTTGAGATTGTATTGCACTGGTCATTAGACGCAACAATCTATAAAACAATAGAAGGGACCTCTGTTGAGCTTGAGATAATGTAGAAATAAGATTAGATGGCAAGACAAAATGATTCATGTAATGCACTTACGTCAACAGAAAATGTAGAAGAGTTTAATTTGCATGAGGCACCACAGCTCTTAAAGAATTCTTCAACTGATTGCAGCACATCTACGGCACTGTACTGCCGTTTTATGTTCTACAAGACACGAATCCACCATGAAAAAATAAGGCTCAACTAAAGCCCGAGACTTTTTATATAGTCACATAGCAATGTTACAGAAAATGTAAAAGATGACGAAGGTTATAGATAAGTTACCTCAAGCATAAACGAATGAACAGTCTTTTTGACTACAGGAGTTGCTATAATCTTCCTAGCTGTGGGCATGAAGGACCAAGCGAGGCCCCAACGGGATGTTTGGCCTTGGACAAATTCTGTGGTCTTCACAACTGTAACACCTACTTCCCAAAGCTTAGATATCAAGAACTTGAGGGTAGCCTTCTTTCCAAGCATTGAGGTGTACCACCTAATATAAAACATGATCGCAAGAGATAAATCCTGGTGGATGGAAAACTAGAAAGCGAAAGATCCAAAGGTATAGTTGGGTAAAATTACCTGAATCTTTGTCTCAGTACAGCACTATCTTCGATAATACGGGACACAAAAGCTTGCTCCCCACCATCGCAAACCATCTCCTCAGGAGTTCCACCACATGCAGTTTTAGGGTTAAGGCCTGATTCTTCAAAGGTCTCAAAAAATGGAGGATTGGACATACAGAAGTCGAAAGTTTCATTTTCCTTGACAACACCAAGTAGCACGGCTGGTTCAATATAGCTTTTGCTGCCATCTACAGGATAATCAGACTGAACCGTAGCGGTAGTTTCGGCTTCCTCAGGTATGCTTTTCTCCTTCTCTCTATTTACAACCTCAGGGTCAGAGGAACTCTGTGGAAGAAGTTTAGAGTCTCTGATCTCAATAAGGTCAGAAATATGGGGATTACTTTTGACATTCTTCTCTGCCCATTCCAGAGCTACAACAGTATAATCTGCGTATGACAATATTGGCACCAACTGAGAACATAGAGCCAGCAACTAGCTAAAGAAGCTACGAGAAAAGCAAATGGAATAAAATGATAAAAGAAGAAGAAACCTGAGCCAACAAAACTCCAACCAAAAAGGGAAGCACCAAGGAGAGGATAAATGCAATTGGCACCTGTACCAATGTCAAAGCCCTTAACTTTGCTTCCATCACCACCCAAACTCTTCTGAATGATCTCAGAGGACAAAAGGTCATTGATCCAATGAATGTAATTGGATCTATTAGGAACAGTAGGGCAAAGCTGTCCATCCGGAATCCACCTAAAAATAAAAGACTTTTGTAAATACAACACACACATTCGTTGAGAGCAAATTACTTTGTACAATTGAAACATACCAGTTGACGCCATGATCATGTAGAAGAAGGATACGAGTGAGCTCTCGGGTGGCGTTGTAATCGGTCCAGTCGATGCGGGGCCGACCACCGGAGAAGAAAACAAAGGGCTTGAAAGAAGGGTAAAGAGACGCCAAGTTGGCGAAATCGGGTGGGTTATCGGAGTATTTGTTCCGGGGTTGCTTAGTGGATCCAGGTTCTGAGCGAGCTCTCTTCTTCCCGTTCCGCATCGAAACTAACTCCGACAGATAAACCCTAAGCCGCCGGGAAAGTGAATGAAAGAGAAGACAACGGCGGTGAATTGAAACGAAGACGTTCAAAATCGAAAGCCTCTGTGAGAATTCGCGGCTTTGCCTATGATGAGCCTGCTTCTATTAAGAGTCCATTAAGTTTACATGTGACCGTCACGTGTGAGGATATCGCCGCGACGAGTCTCAAGCCCTCGTAGAGGTAATTTCCGATTATCGATTCTCCGGCGAAAAACGAGAAAGAAAGAGAAAACGATGAAGAAGACTACAGAGACTCCGTCGAGATCAAACGCAGCTAATAAACTTCAGAAACCTCCTTTCAGACCTGCCGTAGATGACACCAAACCTGTTCTTCAGGACCCTGTGAGGATCTCTTTCTCTCTTCTCCTTACATTGTGTCCTTAACGATGCTATTTGAGCTTAAAGGTCACTGCTTTCGAATTCAATTTTCGGATATTGTCACTGAACTAAATTTAAGTGATACGAAAGGTTGGTTGAATCAAAATGAGTATTAGATTTTTTCGAATTTAGGATAAGATTAAGATGTAATCTCCCTTTTGTCAATTCTTCTTATGCTTAGTTTGGAATGTGAAAGTTGATTGATTCATTGAAGAATATGAATATGTAGATGAAAGAACTTAAAGGTCATTAGGAATACGAGTTGATTCATGAATCATTTCTTCATCTAAGCCATATAACTAGAGAGCTTCAGATTAAAAACCAAACGCATTTCACTGACAAGTGAGAACACACTTTACTTACATAGTGCATCATCTTCACCTATGGACATAGAGACATTGATTTTTTATATTACATAACAAAATGCTGAAGCTTTTCTTATGCTGGTTTGTTATACTGTTTTGTGCCAATTGTTTCGAGTGTAGATATAAACATCTACTTCTACCATAGACTGATTCTGGATTCTCTTGAGGTTTATTTTTATCAATACATATTGCTATCTTGATGAAACACCATTTTTTCACTTAGATTCTGAGATCAGATCCAATGGAGACAGAAGAAGCTGTGCTGAGATTGCCTCCTTTCCCAGTGATAAGACCATCTCAATCGTAGCCGCCCGAATTAACGAAGTTCTTTATCTGATTTGTTTGACATTTTGGAGGGGGTGGTTAGTGAACAGTGATTGTGAATAGATGTTGTGTTAAGCTTGATAAACTGTAACTTACAATCCCATATTTGATAAATGGAAACACAGCTTTAAGATCAGATAAGTGATTCGGTATTATGTCAGCACCCAGGGTAAATTTCAACAGAAGTCTCAAAGCATTCATTGTCTCGTTACATCACCTATCTTGATTATTCTTTTGGTTGAAAATAGTTTTGATACTAGTGTTGTTGTTAGTCTTGATTCTGCTTCATAAACAAAGACAACCTCCGTTCTATACTACTTGTGTTCTGCTGTAACCTTTCGAGTGAGGAAGAGTGTTTTTGTCTGTTCAGGCAGGGGTTTTGATAACATTCACGTGATTCTCACGTGGAGTTCGTTGCAACGACTCAGGGTTAAAATGGTCTTCTGCCTTTATCTGTTAAATCTTGTAGACTTTGTGGACTTTTGTATTAAAAAAAAAATCAAATTAAAATTAAAATCTAAACAAATGATTTTTTTCTATAAAATATAGTATACAGAAAATAAAATAAAAAACAAGAGAGAAAAAGTCTGCATGAAATGCATAATAGAAAATTACGCTGAGAACGAGGCAGACATTGATCATTTCTTCATAAACATGTTTATGCAGAACCAATCTACATGTATGTATGTATGTTACACAAACACAAACACACATGCATATGCATATGCTTCTGATTAATTATTAATGGTATATACCATAAGATTCATGCGAAATAGGTGCTAGGCTCTAGAGAGTTTCACGCTCATTCATCTCTTCTCTCTCTCTCTCTCTCTTTTCTTCTCTTTCTCCTTTCCTGATTTGAGATTTGCTTTGTTTTGATGATTCTGTCACGTTAAGGTTATGATCCCATATTTTTTTTTTCTATCTTTGTTGTTTTAATCCTCAGATGATCATTCCTATTCGTGAGGTTTTGTTTCGATTATAGTGATGTGTATTGATTTATAGGTTTTTGTTTATTGTACAGAACGATTTGTTAATGAGAAGATGATGATGAATCATCAGTGAAATTTGAGTTTTGGGGTGTGTTAAAAGAGTAATGGATTCTGCAAAGGGTTGGTTTCAGAAGCGGCAGATGCGTGGAGGATCCAGATATAAAGGTACTTCAGGTGGTGGTGGAAGTAATGGCTCTGCAGATGAGCACAACGTCGAAACCGATGAAGAAGCTGTTTCAAACACTACCAAACAGAAAGTTGCAGCTGCTAAACAATACATTGAGAATCATTACAAAGAGCAGATGAAGATTCTGCAAGAGAGGAAAGAAAGGTATGTTATCTTGTTCCTCTACCAAAATCTACATCTCTTATTTGAAAATATGGAACTTGAATGCATGATTTAATTTTGGTTCTTCATATAAACAGGCGCAGCATGCTAGAGCAGAAGCTAGCAGATGCTGATGTGTCTGAAGAAGATCAAAATAATCTTCTCAAGTTCCTGGAGAAGAAGGAGACAGAGTACATGCGCCTTCAACGCCATAAGTTAGGCGTTGCTGATTTTGATTTGCTTACAATGATTGGGAAAGGTGCTTTTGGGGAGGTTTGTTTTCTTGACTCTATCCATGTGGGAATACAAAATTTTGTGGTTGTTAAAAAGGATATATTGTTGTTGTTGTTTCTCTAGGTTAGAGTTTGTAGAGAAAAGACGACAGGTCAAGTTTATGCAATGAAAAAGCTCAAGAAGGCAGAGATGCTTCGCAGAGGCCAGGTTAGATCCCTATACATTGCTACTTGATGGTATTGTCTGTGTATCATTCATCTTTGACTCCATTACTTGTTTTTTTTTTCAAGGTTGAACATGTGAGAGCAGAGAGGAACTTACTAGCGGAAGTTGACAGTAACTACATAGTGAAGCTTTACTGTTCATTTCAAGATGATGACCATCTTTACCTTGTGATGGAGTATTTGCCTGGTGGGGATATGATGACTCTTCTGATGCGCAAAGATACTTTGACTGAAGAAGAGGCCAAGTTCTATGTCGCTGAGACAGTTCTCGCTATCGAGTCCATCCACAGGCACAATTACATCCACAGGTTCTGTGATAGTAAATAAAAAGAAGACGTTAATTAGTTCTTCTCTTTCACTATGGGTGAGCTCATCTTCTTCCTTTTGCATCAATAGGGATATCAAACCAGACAACTTGCTGCTTGACAGATATGGGCATCTAAGACTGTCAGATTTTGGATTATGTAAACCTTTGGACTGCAGTGCCATTGGAGAAAACGATTTTTCAAACAATGCCAATGGATCTACGGAGCAAGAGTCCGGTTCAACTGCTCCAAAACGCACACAGCAGGAACAACTTGAACATTGGCAGAGGAACAGGAGAACGCTAGTAAGGCTTCAAATTCACCTTTGAGATTTCTGATATAGTTTCTCCCTCTGTATGTGTCTGATTAACACATGAAATGACAGGCTTATTCCACAGTTGGAACACCAGATTACATAGCTCCAGAAGTTCTATTGAAGAAAGGCTATGGAATGGAGTGTGACTGGTAAGAAGTTTTGACAGACTCTGTATGAGCTCATAATTGTATAAGTATGCATCTTGATGGGTTTCAGCTACTACTTTTATGATGCATTACTTAGTTAAAGGGACCATCTTGATGAAGCAGTATGTAGTGACACTGTCTACATTTGTGCTTTGCATAGGATGCTAATGCAGTTTGCTCTTGCTCTATGAAAATGCTCTGTAGGTGGTCTCTTGGAGCAATCATGTACGAAATGCTAGTAGGATATCCACCATTTTATTCAGATGATCCTATGTCGACCTGTAGAAAGGTAATTTTCAGGAAAATAACTAACAAGGAAGACAAAGAAAACAATCACAAGAACATGATGTTTTTACTTTCCAGTGAGACTGACATGACATCAAACTCTTGCTACTGAATTTGGTTGCAGATAGTAAACTGGAAAAGCCATTTGAAGTTCCCGGAGGAGGCAATATTGTCAAGGGATGCAAAGGATCTAATCAACAGTTTGCTGTGCAGTGTCAGACGTAGGCTTGGTTCCAAAGGTGCTGATGAAATAAAGGTGTTCTTGTACTGATTTCTTTATAAGCTTTTTTTTTTTTGTTTTTGTTTTGGGATGCATGAATAGTTTCTCATATTCACAACTAAGCAACTCTTTCTTTGAATGTAATTTGATTATGGATATGCTCATATCATATGAGAGTTCAATAATACATAATCCAAAGCCTGTGAGATTAAAATGCATAATTTGTTATTTGCATTGCAGGCTCATCCATGGTTTGAAACTGTTGATTGGGATACAATATTTGATATGGATGCAGCTTTTGTTCCAGAGGTCAACGACGATTTAGACACTCAGAATTTTGAGAAGTTTGACGAGGTAACAAATCTTTTATCGCATCACATCTCTTTTGTATTTGATGGAAGCATAACAAGATCAAAAAAAAGTTGCAGATTGATTAATTCTTTGTGGTATTTGAAAATGCAGTCTGAATCGCAAACTCAGACGTCATCCAAGTCTGGACCATGGAGGAAGGCAAAACCATATTCCCTCTTCTCTAAACAAAATTGCTTGCAGAGATTCAAAACTTCCTTCTTCTTAAATTCCTTTATGTATAATAATTTCCTCTTTTACTTCTGCAGATGTTGTCGTCGAAAGACATAAACTTCGTAGGGTATACATACAAGAACTTTGAGATTGTTAATGATTACCAAGTTCCTGGAATGGGTATACACACTTACTTGATCACTGGTTCTTGTATTTGACTGCAGTTTAGTTTGAATGTAACTAATGCTATGATGGTGTTTTGTAGCGGAGTTAAAGAAGAAGAAAAAGTCAACGCGACCAATGGTCAAGTCACTCTTCGGTACACAACAACCTCTTTTGCTGTCTCAGCATTTGACTATTTCCATGTGAATCTTGAATGTGTTTTTGTTAATTGGTTTTGTGTGTTTGTGAACTGTTCGCATAGATAATGGATCATCGGATACATCGGATTCATCTGAAACAACTTCTAGACCGCCTTGTGATCGACCTCCTCCTGCTCCTCCGGTTGTTCAGGGAAGCTTTCTGAAACTTCTACCACCAGAACTTGAAGTGAGGCCAAAGCAAGAAGAATCTGAAGCTTGCTAAAACAGAAGAAAGGTTTTTTATTTGTCAAGGTTGGAGTTGAGTTGTGCCCAATGTTTTAGGCGGTAGCAAAAATACAAACCGACCACTCCTGTTATATCTTTGGACAAAGACGCAGTTTGGTTCTCTTGTTTGACATGAAAAATACATGTATTCATATATAATCTTGTTTTTAATTTCGCGTGCTAACAATAATATTCGCATTGAAGATAAATTTTAACAAAAGAAAATATTTTGTATATACTCCTTGAAAGCATATTTCAATTCCTATATAGGCTTATTTGAAATCATATTTCAAGCTATATGTTTCATTTTTTTTTTAGCTAAGACAGGCAAAAATCTATCAGAACACTGGTAAAAATCTACCAAATCTCTTGTAAAGTTTGAGCAAGGCTCTACCCTAATAAAACAATAATTGGTTAAACAATATTTTGTAGTGAAGCAAAAGACTATTAATTAATATATACCATTAGTTTTGAATACAGCCATCAGAAGTGTTAGGTATAATTTTCCTATACCACCTAACTAGTACTACGGCTCAAATATAAGATGAAATCAATCAAATGTATTGTTCTCTGCTAAAAAAAAAATTCCATAGTTTGAGAATATATAGAATTGATATAGAGAACTGAGTACACATACACTTTATCATATCAAAGTTAGCTTCACTTTCAATCCATAATTTTCTACAATTTTGATATTAAATCGAAAGTATAATAATAAATATTGAAATGAAAAAATAAAATATAGAAGTTGGCCACAACGTTTTCCCGTTACTATATTTGGTAAATGTATTGCATACAATTTGTTGTGAATGTCATACTCCCTTCGTTTTGTAAAACCAGCCATATATAGACACATATTATCAAGTTGTAACAATTATAGTTTATATATGTATATTGTTGTACTCTGATTAATTTGGTCAAATCACAAACAACAATTTCAAACAATTGGCTATGATTAATTACTATTTCTATCGATTCCTACAAAAGGATATATATATTTC